AAAAGACTTAAAATCACCATACTATAATGACACAGCCACATCAATGTTTATAGCAGTGACTCAATTCACAGTAGCTAAGCTATGGAACCAACCTAGGTGCCCTTCAACAGATGAATGGATAAAGAAAATGTGGTACATATATACAATGGCATATTAACCATAAAGAAGAATGAAATTATGACATTTGCCTGTAAATGGATAGAACTGGAGACTATCATATTACGTGAAATAAGCCAATCCCCCAAAACAAAGGCCAAATGTTCTCTCTGTTATATGGATGCTAACTTATAATAGGTGGGGGTAGGGAGGGAGGAGAAGGGGAGATTCACAGGATTGGACCAGGGAAATGGGGGAAGGAAAGGGAATGGGAATGGGAAAGACAGTAGAATGAATTGGGCCTAAGTTTCCTATGTTCATATGTATATACAAAACCAGTGTAACTCCACATCATGTATGATCACAAAAATGGGAAGTTATACTCTCTCTATATATGTATGTATGATATGTCAAAACACATTCTACTCTCATGAATAAGTAAAAAGAACAAAAAATTTCAGCAATTTACAGAGATCCATTCTCAAAATAGAAAGGACTGGGTACCGTGTAGCTCAGTGATAACCCTCACCCTCTGTTCAATCCTAAGTACCAATGCTGTCATGGCTAAATGTGACACCTGACTCTGCCACAATCATTTTGAGGTCACCAGTGGAGCTGACCTTGTCCAAAGATTAGGCTCACATGCTGAGGACAGTGAAGCAAAAGATGGAAAGATCTTCAGTTGCTGATGGTGGAGTAGTGAGTCACTTGAACCAAGGCTGGAGCTGCCCTCTGTGAAAACTTCTTATTATGTGACATATTAAATTGTCTTTATTACATTTGTGCCCTCATACATGATGTTGAACCATATACAATTGCTAATATTCAGCTATTTTTGACCTATTTTCTTCAGCAATATTGCTGGCCAGCAGATGTCTTCCTGGTCTGCTTTCATTACTCTCAATTTCCTCATCTTCCAAGTGAAATTTTGGCACCTGTTTCATTATACTTTTATTCACCTCCAATACTTGTTATCTTTAGTTGAGGATATCAAACCATGAGGATTGCTGACCTAACATGCCAGTACAGAGAATCTTAATACTTGGTATATCTTCACAGGGGTGCATCCAGATTTTAATCAATGTGTACAATCTATATTTTTTACATATGGATGGATGATATCTATTAGCCAAAACAATCAGCTGAGAAGACCAAAGAAGAAGAACAGTTTGTTCTAATGGGAGGAGGAAGTTAACTGCTGAAAGAAAGTGTTAAATTTTAGTGGCTTACTATATTAAAATTTTATTTCTTGCTCATGTCACAGTCCAGAATACGGATGAGTTAGTTGAGAGGGTGGATTCACATGGCCATTAAAAATTCAGTGGGTCCATCATCTCTCATTTCCTCAGAGTTCTTTACTGGATGGTCTGTATCCAGCTGGTAGATGATGAGAGAACATATGGACAAGTAGTACTGAGATAAATAATAAAGTAAAGACATAATTTATTAAATATTATATACTTATTCCATAAAATTTAATTCTCCTGCATCTCAATAAAATCACAAATTGTGTTATAATCATCCAATAATTTTGTTCACAAGAGAGCAGTTACTTAAAGGAATAAAAAAAGTAATTACATTCAACATATATACAATTTGAATGTTTTAATAAAAATGGAAATCAAAGAAACACAAAAATAAAAATTTTTAAATGAGTTGTCATTTTTCCTCTAAAATATTTAACTTATCTATTAAAGTTAAAAGACAATATACATTAGTTATGAATATCAACATTTTAAATAAAAACTATTTAATTAAAGCTCAAGTTTTTTAGTTTTAAAAATTTGATTAATTGTTTGTGGTACTGGATATGGAAGCCAGGGACTTGCACATGCTAGGCAATCACTCTACTACTGAGCTACATCCCACCCCTTACTTATTTTTAGACAGGGATTTGATAAATTTCCCAGGTTGACCTCAAAACCTATAATCCTTCTGTCTCAGCCTCCCAAGTAGCTGAGGTTACAGATATGTGCCAACATATTCAGCCCCAAAATTTAATGAATTCTATGAATTTTTACTAAAATAAAATTACTCACAATTCTAATGTTCAGTGTTCTAGTTGCCAAGGTAAAAAATGGACATGCACATTACTTTTATACTACTATGTCTACAAATGTAAAAGTAATGAGTTGTTTATTATTGCAAAATGCTTTCTAACCTCCATATACAAAATATATAATATTGTATATATATATACACACACACAATAAAAATTAAAGTCTTTCAAAGATTCTGGAGTTCATTTCTGTTTTTAAAGATTTTCCATACCTCCAAATTATAGTTCTTTTATTCTAGACTTATTGTTTGTTAATATGGAGTTGGTAGGAAGTATAACTCCAGGATGAGTGTTTAAGGTAAAGGGGAGGAGACAACAAGGACCTGAACTAAGGACCTAAGGAACTAAGGAACTAAGGAACCTAAGGAACTAAGACGACAAGGACCTCACACATGACAAAGCAAACTGGGAAGGCAGGAAGGTAGGGTCTGACTTTCCACTAGACATATGCTTAAGTGCTGAATGAAAAGAGAAGAAACTGCACAGATATTCTAATCCAGGCAGCATGCAAAATAGTAATAATATCAATTAATATTAATACTTACTGAAGGAGGAAGATCAGGCTTGTGGATGGAATAAGATGCATCCCATTTTGGATATGCTGATATTTTGGGGTACAAGTGAGCCAAGTAGAAAAATTTCAGGAGACAGAGCTGACATGAGAGAACTAAGGAGGGTGTAAATTTGGTTTAGAAACAGCCAGTCAAAATAATTGCTGGAGGCCAGGCATGGTGGTGATCACCTTTGATTCCAACAATTCAGGAGCCCGAGGCCGAAGGATCCCAAGTTGGAGGCCAGCCTCAGCAACTTAGTGAGGCCCTCAGTGGCTTAGTGAGACCATGTCTCAAAATAAAAAGTAAAAGAGGCTAGGCATGTAGTGCAGTGGTAATGTAACACTGGGTTACTTTCAATCCCCAATGCCTAAGTAAATAAGATTGCTAGATCTGTGGGCCTAGAAAGAGTGTCTAGAGGGAATGGCCAGAAACTTGAAGAAGGATGAAGAGGGAATATTGCCAGAAAAGCAAATAATTTATAGAGGAGATGACTGACTCCCCATATGGGCTTGATGGAAGGATTTTTGGCAATGGTAAACTGGAGGGTGTGATAGTGGGGGTGAAGGAAGGATTCAAGAAGAAACAACATGAAGAAATAGGAAGCAAGAAAGCACTTCAGCAAAATAGCCAACCAGTTACCAGATGTTGAATGCGTTATGTTGTAGAAGAACGGGGAGGGTCAACAATGGGCTGGTTAACACTGTCATTGTGGAAGAGGTGACAAAGATCAAGAAGAGGCCATTTCCTCCAGGGTTACTGTGACAACTCTTTGGTTGCTTGGGGATTAAGAGATCTAATGGCTTTTGATCTACTTAAGCTCTAGCCAAAGAGATCTGATAACCTCCGCATGTCTCAAATTTCTAAACATAGTGCTCATGTCTCCTCTATCCTCATCTAGATTGGGAGTTCCAATTTTCTCTGTCATGACATGTACTGCATCTACTTCAGATGGTTTTCATCTTTTTTTTTTTTTTTTTCATTTTTGCAGTACTGGGGAATTAAACCTCATGCATGCTAGGTAAGTGCTCTATCTTTGAGCTACATTCCTAGCCCTTTTTAAAAAATTTGACTGGGTCTTGCTATGCTGCCAGGGTTGGCCTCAAACTTGTGATCCTCCTGCCTGAGCCTCCCCAGTAGCTGGATATCAGCATGTGTCACTACATCTGGAATTGTGTTTATTTTTAGTGTTTTTTTTTTAAAATGAGAAACTAGATGAGATTATGTTTCTGGGGAAAGGAGATAATAGCAGTGATGCCACTGCTATTATCAAGTATCATGCTGCAAACATATGCCTTGAGAGGGTACAAGCAATTTTAAGTTCAATCTCTGTTTCCCTAAAGACCCTACAAAATATTTAAAAAATTCACAAATTGGTTATTAGAAACTACAAGAGTTTATTGACTTTTTCTTTTGTGCGGCTGGGGGATGTGGAGTGAGGTTTTAAAATAGCACACATCTTTAAAAAAGTTCTCAGAGTACCGTTTTTTTCACTTCATATCTGCAAAGATCTATGAAGTTTCACAACAGTTTTGTCTAGGGTGCAGGAAAAGCAGGCACTCTGTACATTGTTGGTGGGAGAGTCAATTGCTATGACCTCTTTGGAGGTGAATGAAATGATTTACCAAAATGTACATATCCTCTAATATAGCAATTCTGGACAAGATGTTTCACTGCAGCATAATTTATTGTGCCAAAAGATGGCAACAACCTAAAATGTCCATTGGTAGAGAGAATGGTTAAATTATGGCATTATTTTCACCATGGAACACTTCAGTCATAATGCTTGTTTATATATAAAGCAGCTCTGGAACAACACACTAGAAACTGGTGAGCCATGTTGAAAAGTTTCAGGAGGCAGAGCTGACAGGGGAGAACTAAGGAGGGTATAAATTTGGTTTAGAAATAGCCAGTCAAAATGATTACTGGCCTCTGGAAGGGAGTTGGTTTTGGGAACAGGAAATGGGAGGGACTTTTCACTTACCTTTTATTGCCTTACAAATATATTACTATCTCCACCCCATTCCCAGCTGAACCAAAAACAAAACTAAAATGAAAAAAAGAAAAGTGTTTTTGGTGGCAGAGGGTCCATTAACAGGTTGCGACACTCAGAAAACGAGATAAATCCTAACCAAAGATTGAGTCAGTAGTTAATATGGGAATCATTGAGAGAAAGTTTAAGAGTTGAAGGTCCCCTGACCATCCCCACTTACCTTTTCTATCCACAGAAAACACAAGAAGAAAGGATGGGCAGGATAAGAGCAATCAGTACAAGGAAGACAGGAGGCCAGGAAACTAGTTGGATAGACACTTTATTGTGGTTTGCTTGTGGTAAGACATTTAGCCCCTCAACACATACATTTGCTCTGGAGAATATTTTGCTGGAGACCACAGCGTGATGCTCAAAGACCTTTAACCCCATCTATGTCAGTCTAGTCAATGGCTGACTATTTTACAGTTCAACTAGTTAGAGGAAAAAGTCAGGAAAATCTGGTCTTAACACCCCAAATTAAGGGCTGCAAGATTTGTGACTCATTTGTATAAAGTGCTTATGTTCAGTGCAAAAAGGGCAGATTCAGAAGGGCAAGCAGATGCCCTTCCTGGGAGTCAGTCAGATATGTTCTATGACTCAAGGAAGGAAAAGTTACTCATACTTCACCCCCCCCCCCAAAATTTAGTATTTTCCTTACAGTCTTTCTCCTCTCTAACAGGACCAGAACTTTCAATCTGACAGATCTCCATAATACTTATTTATTTTACTTTAAAAATTTCATTTCAGAGGGAATTCCACAGGGTTTCTAAGCACCAGAGATGTTGACTTCAACTTCCAGTTTCTGTTTTTCTCAGCTTTAAAAAAGGGATCAATAGGCTGAGCTCTGGCTCGTGGGAGACTCAGGGCTGCATGGCTTCTCTTTAGGCCTCTCATTTGCAAATCCAAGTAATTAAGTATGACAAACCCTTTCTCAAATATCCCACATCTCAGGTGGGAAGACAAGCCAAGAAGCATTTTACCTAGTTTTCCACTAACTGGATGTAACCTATTGTCCCCTTGTTTTCTCCTCTTCCTTCTTTTTTTGTGGTACTAGGTACTTTTTTTCACACATGCTACCAGGCAAGCACTCTACCACTGAGTTACATCACCAGTCCTTTTTGTTTTATCTTGAGACAGGGTCTTGCTAAGTTGCTGAGGTTAGCCTTGAATTTGCGATTCTCCTGCCTCAAGCTTCTGTGTAGCTGGAATGAAGGTGTGTGCCCCCCATACCTGGCTCCCTAGTTCTGACCCTTGCCCACAGGCTAAACTCGAAAGTGAATCCCCGATTCCCTCTGTTAAGACTGATAAGTGCACTGCTGTCTTAGTGACCCAGGTGTCTGAGTATCCATCCAGTGGTCCCAGAAAGACTGAAGGGAGAAGAAGAAAAAGGGAAATGGTTTCTTAATCAATTCAAGAGGCACAAACAGGACTGGAATTCAAATAGGTAAAGTCTAGCCATTCAGTCCTAGGACCCTTACTACCATTACTCTTCCCAGACTCTCAGAGAGGGAGCCACAATCTTTCACCCATCAACTTTGTAGCAGGGATACCAATAAGAGCCAGCTCTGTGCTTGTGAGTAACCATCCTGCATACCTGTTTGGAGAGGCCTGCCTTTTCCTTCCCTCTGGATCAATGTGACAAGGACCCTCAGGTGTGTGCATTAGCCCACAGACCTGATCACCTGTATTGCTGTCAGAGGTTTTGGACATCACTACCTGAAAGACCTCTATTCAGGTTACCTTCCAAAGACCTATGTGAACTCCTTGTGCTTATGAGAGGAGACACTCGGCAAGCAGTTTTATTCCATAGGTAGCACTTGCCCCAAAGCCATCTCTGAATTTCAGGAAGGAAAGAAAGGGGAAAGAAGCAATACTTTTGGTGTTGCCCTATAATTCTGTGTAAAACTCCTCTAGTTAAGAGGAGCTACTAAAGCATCACCATGTGGAGGGGACTGTGTACAAACAGGATGACCCGGGTTAAGAACCAAAACGCAGGGAAGGATTTCAGACTGGCAAAAATCTAAAGGAAAGTGCCTCTAATGGGAGAGAGTCTCATTTGAAAATGCTTGGGCGTAAACATGAGTGTACAGGAGCATGCACGCATGTGTGTACATGCCTGTGTACACACACTCACTCATTCTGAGGTAGAAAGAACTGGCCATCTCCAGACGAACACACAGATCCCACAATTTTACAGAAACATGGCACTTGCGTGAAAAGTCCTGTCCTTGCTGGAAGGCAAGTAGGGTCCAATCCAACTCTTTCCAACCTGGGGCAGAGCCAGAGAAGTCCCACTCCACGGGAGGAGAGAGGTGGAGGTTATCACTCCTGTCGCCACGGTTCTTTTGCTATGTCTTCCTGGTCTTGCTGCCCAGGGTCACTTCCTGGAGCCTGAGCCAAGGGCACTCCGGGGGTGGCTTGTCAGAAGCCACTGGGTACAGATATCTTGCACTATGGCATCCCCGCTGCTCTTGGCAGCCTGCTGCACCTGCTGAACGAGGGTGGTGGCCCGTGAGTGTTCTTGCTTCACGGCAATCAGGTAGGCAGATCGCAGCTTGCAACACGTCAGGTAGGCCTGAACCTGGCAATTGGATATGAGAGACAGTGGAAAGGAAACCATCACTGGTGAATCACCAACAAATATGCTGAGCCACATAAAAGCTCAAGCAGACACATTACCTCTCACCTACAGATTAACAGGCAGGTATTGCCTTTGTATTATGCAAGTCTTCATATATTCTAGACATTAAGCTATCACATGTTTTTTTTTTTTTTTTTAAATATTTATTTTTTCAGTTCTCGGCAGACACAACATCCGGATGTTTGTATGTGGTGCTGAGGATCGAACCTGGGCCGCACGCACGCCAGGCGAGCACACTACCGCTTGAGCCACATCCCCAGCCCTATCACATGGTTTTATAGTGTAAAAAGTTACTACTGGTGACCACAGATCATGATTTTATGGTTACTTGGTTATTTTTTCATTGATGTCTGTTTCCTTGACTGTGGTCCATGAGGGCAGGAAGAGTGTCTGCTTTTTCTACCCCTTGTATTACTGATGTTTAGCATGTAGTATATTTAATAAACATGCATTATATGAATGAATTAATGAATTGATGAGCCATCATATCTTCTTGCTACAATGGATTGTAGCATAGATTCCCCCTTCTCCTTTTCTGTTTTTAATCAGAATTTAAAATCTTTTAACAGAAAATTTGGGGATGAAAATGAATATACACAATTAGAAAAGGTGTACTTAAGATCTAACCCCAGTTAGACCTGACTTGACTTCTTTTGCTTGGATTAGAGGCAGCTCAGTTTTGAGAGTGCATATCTCCCAAACTGCCTCATGAATGTGCAGTATGGTGGGGACGAGTGCCCCTTCCCTCTCTGGCTAGTGCTCTGAGCCAGGGAACAATAGCAAGATCCTCCTGAGCTGCCACAGCCCCCAGTGGCAGCTGCCTTTCTGCTTCACAGTCCTCTCTGGGATTCTTCTCACTCCATGTATAATGCTCCACCGTTTCTTTCCTTTTTTTTGGTCTTAGTCAGTAAAGTCTTCCTTTCCTGGGTTCAATTACAGATTGTCTCCCACCAATAAAAGATGCCTGGCAGGTCCTGAGCTCACAAAAGTGATCAAGTCCTGTTGTTCCTTTCACTACCCTAGGATATGAGCTCTCACTCCAGCCTTCAGCTCCAGTCAGAGTCCATGCGTGTAAAATATCCCAGTTAGTAGGCAAAATTCCTGCCAAGAGAAGAAGGGTATCTTGCCAGAGAGTCTGGAATAGGAACTGGATCAAGCGGATATGGGCAAGTCCCCAAGTCCTGAGATCACTTGGATCAGCTGCTGAGAGAAAAACCCTGAAGAGTAATACTGACTCTCTAGACTGCACTGTGCACACTTCCAGGGACGGAGCCACTGTCCTATAGTGTGCGAGGCTCAGTGAAGGCTCAGGAAAGGACCATAGTTTGGGATTCAGGGAAACTGGCTGTCTGTTCTGGCCAGTTTCCCTGAATCCCAAACTATCTTTCTGATTTTAGAAAAGTAATTCTCCACATTTCAGAATGCTATAACCTCATCTTTTCTAAACATTTCATCAGGATGTTACAGAAATAATAAGGAAATGTTTAGAACAGGTCCTCCTTAGCCCCTAACAATACCCTGCAAATATAGTCCGGGATTAGCAATACTGTCACGGGGAGCAGCTTGCCTGACATTTCTTTTCATCATAAAGAACTCAGCTACCAGAATATTCCTCTGTTGATAGCCAGGGTAGCCCTGTTTGGTTGGGCTTTCTTGGGTCTTTCTTGGCTGGGGGCCCTTCCTGCTATGACAAGAGGAACCTTATCAATCCTAAGGTTAGCCACATACAGGGCAGCTGGGAATACTTTTGTTCTGGCTGGCACTCCTCAGAGTGACAATGTGAAGCAAAGGTTCACCAATTTCTGAAATAGGGAAGAGTTCACTGGTCCCAGGGGAAAGGCCCTTTCTGGCAAATGAGACATCAATGAACACTGTAGGCCAAGGGGTTGGGGGTGGCTTTTTCTTACTGCTTTCTTTTCTCAGGAGAACAAAGAAAAGCTTACCCACTCTGGGAACCTCACTCAGCCAATCAGCCTAAGGATGGAAGTGGGACATTTTCTAGGGCTTTCTGAGAGGAGACATCCATATAAAATGTAGATTCAAGAGCACCTTAAAGGATCTGGGGATGGAGCTCAGTGGCATAGCACTTGCCTAGCATGTGCAAGGTCCAGGGTTTAAGACTGACACCGCCCTCCCACGAAAAAAGAGCAGCTTAGGACACGTTTGTGTTGGGGGTCAAGAACTGAAAAGGCATAGGCTCAGAGAGTCAATGTTGACCTGTTCCCTATCCATTCCCTCCTTTCTAAACCCCTACTTAAATCTCAGTGCCACTTCTAGATAACAGCAGAGCTGTGGTACAAGACTATAGGGGACTACTGTGGAGAGCAAGGCAAGCCCTACATGCTGTCCATTACCATCACCATAGCTTAGAGACAGCTCAGCTCACCTTGTTGTCATCGCTGTGTATTGCCTGGATCAGGCCTTCCAGTTCCTGTGCAGAACAGAGACACAGCAGTTTTAAGAGGGAGAAGAGCCCATGACCTTTTGGGGGCCAAAGTCCAATTCAGTCTCATCCCAGCATTGTAACTCCAGCATGAGATCGCCTGCCTCATTCTTCCTTCTAAACTCAACTCCTACTATAGGAGCAACGAAGGAAAGCTAATGAGAACAGCAAGCTTGGGAATTTTGGGAAAAGAATATCTCCCAAGAGGCCTGTGCTTGGCCTTCACAAATGGATGTGACTCTGTTTACCCCTCAAAGAAGCCACAGGGATACAACTTCATAGGTAATAAGCTTCAAAGGCCATTTGCTGGCCCACCCTGATCTTTAGAATCACAGGGAGCAAACAGTTCAATGCCATCAGACATTTTCAGGTGTACACAATGTTAGAAAAGGTAATGTTAAGGGACACCTTCTGGCTATATGTTCACCACCATGAATTTTCCTTATAAGAAATGGGTTGTAGAGGCTATTGTTGCAAGGGGGTCAGAAACTAGAGTTTCAGGCACGCTATGGCGAACAGAGAAATAAAGTGGGTGATGAGAAGACACTAAAATAGCTGGAGGACCCAAGAGAAGGGTGAGTGCACCTGTGGTGGGATTCTCTTAAAGGCTTCCAGACAGTTGAGGAGGATGGTGTCCCCATCACTTTTGGCTGCCATGCCTGACTCACTGACACATTTGAGCAGCTGTCGGATCTCACTGTATTTCTCCTTCTCCACCAGCTGCTGGGCAGCTCTGCAGTAGGTTGCTGCAGCATCAAGCTGGAAGTCCTGGAACAGAACATGGGACTTAAGATGACAGGGGATATCCACAGTGGTAAGGGAGGCCAGATTTAAGAAGCATCCACTATATTTGCTTTAGAAAAACCATGATGAGTATTTACACAAGAGAAAACTAACATAACAAGCAAGCCCCAAATAAGCAAAAGTTCATTGAGAGTCAGGCAGACATTTAGGAAGCATCCATAAACACTGTAACCTTATCATCTAAAATGGTGCATTTCACTTACTTCCATGGCATCTCCTTAAAATATCCTAACAGAATCCTAAGAACATTTCATTCTCTCTCTTGTGAAATCACCTTTCTCTGGTAAATGGTGTGGAAAGCTGGTATTTGCTGCCTTTGATACTTGGTGTTCCCTTAAGAATTGTTTTAGTGTTCAGAAAAAGTCCAGTTCATCAAAAGATTAATTTGCTGAAAACTGTCAGATGACCTTAAGCCTCATCTAGGTTAATTCTATGCCAGAGGAACTGGGGATAGCTGCCCCTCTGCCTGCCCACCATGGGCATCTGTGAGTAGAGCACTTTAACCAACACTTAAAATGGATGGGATGGGAAGACAGAATACTGGTCCTTGAGACATGCATGCTACGTACAGTGTCTTGCCTGTCCCTCAATCAGCTCCTAGGGGTGTTTGCATAAACCCATGGTCATGGTGGGGGTTTGGAGAGACTTTGCCCTTTGGAGTTTCAGTGCCTTGCTCCAGCCTCTGCTTCAGTGCCACAACCCCACTTTTGTCATTTTATCACAAGCAACAGAAAATATGCTCCCGAAAGCAGCTCCTGGATCCAGAATGGAGGGGCGGTCCACAGGGCCAATGGAAACCCTTGGTTATTCCCTCTAGCCTTGCTCCCCTGCAAGGGTGAGCAGTGGTTCTGTAGAGAAACAGCCATGAGGAACTGTACTAGACTAATTTCAGGTAGTTATTTGACAGCTTTTAATGAGTTTGTCATTGGTTACTTGGCTTTTGGCAAAACACCCTACAGTCTTGCATTTGACCCAGTTCTGTAATAGCAATTTCCCTGATTTCATCCCTAAATGTACATGCAAATCTGCTTTTCTTGGGATAAAAATTTTCTGAAGAATAATCTCAAGAAAATGTGGTCAGGTGCTGACTGCCCTTGGCATAATCTCAGATAATCCAAGTCATACCTGCAGAACACGGAATGCAATTCCAAAACCGTCTTCTACATTTTTCCCTCCCAGCATGACCTGAAAAAGGAGAGGGAAACATGCTTAAAGAAGCAGTAACCGCCAGGCGTGGTGGTGCACACTTGTAATCCCAGTGGCTCAGGAAGCTGAGGAAGGAAGGAGGATTGCGAGTTCAAAGCCAGCCTTAGCAATTTAGTGAGGCCCTAAGCAACTCAGGCAGATCCTGAGTCTAAATAAAATATATAAAAGGTCTGGGGATGTGGCTCAGTGGTTAAGTGCCTCTGGGTTCAATCCTTGATACCAAAAAAAAAAAAAAAAAAAAAAAAAAGGAAGCAGTAGCTATTGAATAGTCCCTAAATCAAGAATGAGATCCAAGCGTGGTAGTGCATGATTGTAATGATTACATGACTGTAATCAGGGGCTTGGGAGGCTGAGGCAGGAGGATCAGTAGTTCAAAGACAGCCTCAACAAAAGTGAGGTACTAACCAACTCAGTGAGACCCTGTCTCTAAATAAAATATAAAACAGAGATAGGGATGTAGCTCAGTGGTCAAGTGCCCCTGAGTTCCATCCTTAGTACTCACACACAAAAAAAGAATGAGGGCCCCCATTTATTCAGTTGTTTGATATATATTTAATGAGATTCGATGGGTGCCAGCTACTCAAGACATAAGAATGATCAAAATTTACTTGATATCCAACATATGTAACTCCAGTGGAGAGGAAGCCATCAAGCAAACAACTAAAATAATAACCAATTACAATTGTGACAATTAAACATGTTATAAAAGATGAGAACTGCCTAGGGGAGGGGAAGCACTGTACCTACCTTGCAGGCAACATCCATTTTCATGTGGTTATTTCCAAAAAGGGTTGGCAGAGGCAAAGTGGTGATCTGAGAGGTACCGGCACTTTCGCACCGATGCAGGAACCTGGTCACTTCCATCTGTAGCTGAAGTGTATTCATGTGCCTAGGGGACAGGACACTCCTGATACATTCTCATAAGGAGCATTACAGGTGAGGTACTAAGTGACCGAGAAGTCATAGATGGCAAGGGAAAAGGCCAAAGAAATGATGTGGAGGGAAAAGAGACCTCAAATACATTTTGGATAGTTATAAAAAGATGGAAATAGATGTCTCAGGCTCCCCCCTGCACAGAGTTACTGAGCACCTATGTGCCAGGTACAGCCACAGAGGTTAAGAAAGGCATGAGCCCTGCTCTCACAGAGTCAGAGGCTGGAGGAGAAATGAACAGTAACCAAACACAGAAGACATTTAATGATTAAGCCTACAAAGGCAACAGAGAACTGGTGGAAGGTTTACTTTAGATACCATGTTGTAAACAGAGGGATTAGCAAGCATGAAACCCGAGAAGAAAGGATTTGGTGTGTTGAGGAATCTTCAGGAGGCGAGTGACTGATACTCATCAAGAAGAGAAGAGCTGGGCGCGGTGGCGCATGCCTGTAATCGCAGTGGCTCAGGAGGGCTCAGGAGGCTAAGAGAGGAGGATGGCAAGTTCAAAGCTATCCTCAGCAAAAGGGAGGTGCTAAGCAACTCAATGAGACCCTGTTTCTAAATAAAATACAAAATAGGACTGGGAATGTGGCTCAGTGGTCAAGTGCCCCTGAGTTCAATCCCTGGTACTACCCCCTCAAAGAAAAAAAAAAGAAAGAAAGAGAGGAATACAAGACAGAGATGGAGCCATCAGCAGAGACCAGACCACACAGGATCTTTTTTTTCCCACTGTAAGGAGAAGGAAGTTTAGTTTGGTTGCAGCATGTGATACTAATCCTCCTCTCCTGCCCCCTTTCCCTTTCAGATGTGTTTTTTAAGGACACAGGGCATGGGCACAGACACTCCATTCCAGCTTTTCTGCCCTGCACTAATTAGCTTCCAAGCCTTGAGCTACCTGGATACATCTGCTGCTGTCATCTTTTTTCGGAAGAAGGTATTTTTCTTCCTTCCAGAACTGCGGGATGTTTCTTGGAGGTAGATCTTCAGGTGGTCCTTGGCCTTAAGCAACCATGAGAGCCTCTCTCCCAGTTCTGTATATGACTTTGCTTTGTGACTGAAGAACCGAATACAGGTCATGGCAGCCCGGACTTGGTCCTAGAAGTGAAAAATGAACGTTCAGGTCAAAAGAGATCAGGGATGTTGGAGGCAGGACATGATGAGAATTCTGATCTGATTCCCATCTAGCCCTAGTGATGTCTCCATCTTTATCTCTTGCTTCTTTTTCCTTGCTATGCATTGGTCACCAATTGAACTGCTATTTTGAGTCAGTCACTTCAGAGCCCAACAGATCCTAAAGTGAACTGACCAGCTAAACTTTTGGGTTAGACATTATTTCATATGCCAAAATAATCAAAAAAAAAAAAAAAAAAGGATACTTCTGCTTCTTCATTCACAATGGTTTCACTCTTAACGTAGTATTAAATATTTTCTCTGTGATTTAGTGACAAGTCTCACACAAGAGAAATGTGTTGCTTCTCTTTTCATGTATTTTCTTTGAAAATACTTTTCCATCATTCCTTATGAATTCTGTATCTTTCTTACCTTTATATTCCTTGAATTGTGAAGAATGGTATTATGGACAAGTCTAAAGTTTATCCCTAAATTTAGCATAAAAGTTCGAATATCTTTTTAACAATGCTAGACAGCAAGATGGATTTGTCCTAAGGTCAAATAGCAAGGCAAGGGATCAAAATGGCAGTCGTATTCCTCATCTTATAGCCTTCCCTGTATGGCAGGGCACCAGGGAGGAGGGGGCTGCTATTACCTTCATAAACTGCTGCAGCTCATACAGAATGTGGTAGTAGTTCTTCTTTTGTAAATGTTGGCAGGCGGCAATCAGGTATGTGCCCCAGCTCTCCAAGGTTGGATCGATGGATTCCAGCAAGTTTTCCAAAGTGTGTAACTTCCCACTTTTATAGCTTGGCTGGAAAATGCCTTCTATAAATACTTCTGGAGGACTGTCCTGCAGCAGGGCAAAGTGAGAATCAGAAGTCTGGAGCCTGGAGCTGAATTCTGGCTCAGTCTGGGATCTGTTCTGAATTTTCTTTCATTCACATACTTTAGCATCCTCCTAGCACAATGCTTAATCTTTTGTGTGTCACAGATACCTCTGAGAATCCCACTCTAGTGACTGCTTCATGTATCTCCTTCATTTTGTAGAAGAGCTCCTTGACCGAGTTATCTGTGCTGTCACTACTTTCTCTCCCAGGATATCATCTTGAATCTGCTCTGACCTCACTTTTGGACCCAAATACAACCCAAACTGTGTCTTAGGTCACTAGGGACCTCTAAACTATTAATTTAATCCCAAGAGTCAATTCTTAGTCTCCTTTTCTACCTGATCTACCAGCAGCTTTTCCCTGTAGTGCTGGGGATGGCACCCAGGGCCTTGTGCATGCTAGGCAAGTGCTCTGCCACTGAGTTACATCTTCAGCCTATCAGCAGTTTTTTTTTTTTTTTTTAGCAGCGGGTAGGTACCAGAGATTGAACCCAAGAGCACTTTACCACGGAGCCACATCCCCAGCCTTTTAAAATATTTTATTTACAGATAGGGTCTCACTGAGTTCTTAGGGTCTCACTAAGCTGCTGAGGCTGGTTTTGAACTTGAGATCCTCCTACCTCAGCTTCCCAAGCTACTGGGATTATAGGTGTGTGCCACCATGCCCTGTTCCTATCAGCAACTTTTGATAACAGCTTCCTCTACCTCAAAAAACTTTTTAATTTAAATTTTTAGTTTTAATTGTAAAAAACTTCATTTGACCTAAAGAACACCAACCTCTGTAGGTTTTCTTTCTATCTTTCTGGCTGTGTCTTCTCAATTTCATTTTGTTGATTTTTCCCAGTCTCCCTGAGGTTTAGCAGGAACTTGTTCTCTTTTCCATCTGAACCTTTTCTCTCTTGGTGATTTTGTCCAGTCTCATGACTTAAGTACTATCCCAGTGCTGATGATGCCCATACCCAGCCTGGTCATCACCTCCTAAACTCCAGAACTGTTTACCCCATGATATCCAAATCACTTCCTAAACATGTCCTGGGCATTCAATACACATAATACATTCAAAACAGTATTCCGGAGTGTTCCTTGAAACCCGCTCCTTCTAGTCTTCCTTTTTTCAGATGGTAATACCATTTGTTAACTGTTCAGGTCAATAACTTTAGAATCATCTTTTCCCCCAAACTCCAACATCAAATTAGTCAGCCAGTCCTATTGACTCTCCCATAAAATTATATAGAGAAGCTGGCCCTTCTGGCTACCTCATTGCCCTGGCTTATCTAAACTGTTCACCACCAGGTGGATTGCTGCAATAGCCTCCTCCCTGGTCTACCATCTCCCATTTCTGCCTCTTTTCTAATGTTAACAAATCAACCTGAGTAATTTTTTTAAGTAGTGGTTTTCCTTTTTAATCCCCAGTACCAAAAAAAAAAAAAAAAGTCACAAAGATAGTGCATGGTACAATTAGGAAACTTAAATAATTTGATGAGTCTGAAATACAGGTACAGATAGGATTTGTGATGAAAGTTAATTGGAGAAATATGGCAGATGGATCCTGGTGGGTGCTATAGAATGCTAAGGGATTTGGACTTCATTCTATGGCAGTGGGGATCCACTAAAGGCCTGTTAGGGAGATCAAGAACATGGGTGTTTTCAAGTTTTAGGAGGCTCACTTTACAGGCAGTATACGCAAAGGGATGAAACGGACAGGCTAGAAACAGAACACCTTCCATACCCCAGGCATTCTGGTGTCAGTTTTATATTGTCCCTTCCTGCTTGAGAATACAAATAAGACATTTCAGTTCAAGGGTAACTGTGATTACAGGAGATAAAAAGAAGGCTTCCTTCCTAAGCTGATAGATGTAAAGTAGGGGCAATGCTGTTGTCAGCTTATATCTGGGTATTTAGGTAAGCAGCTTAGCTCTGTGAACCACAGTTATCTAAGGAAATAGGACTAAATGATTTCCACTCTCAATCTGTGGTTGGGAGAAGCATCTTTACCTCTAAACTCTTTTGGAAGCAGAGAAAAAGGGAAAAAGTTAGAAACTAAATTCCAAATAACATGACTTTTATGTGATTCTTGATTCTTGAGACCTGGTTAGTAGCTAAGACACAACAGTAAACCAAGCAGTGGTGAAAACATTTCTCTTTCACTATCTTGTAGGTGTCTGGTTACCACAGTTCTGTGAACTGCTGATGTCATTTGGAGCAACCTTAGAAGATGTGTGTATTTGAAACTTTCATTGTCTTCATTGATTCAAGGCAGTTTACCTTGAGCTCTTTTAATTTTCTATAAAATTTGGTCAGTATCAGCTAGCTTCTCAGAAAGTGATCATGCAATATTCAGATAAAAAAGGAATGATGAAGGATCATGGTGAAATGAAGTCCTGATTACTCATCTGTGGCTCCATAGAAATAATGTACCTCAGTGGTGCCTTTGCCTCCAAGAGGAGGAGGGTAGAGGATGTGAGAACAAAGTGAGTGGAGTACACTGTGCTTCCACCATGTACACAGGACCTGTGCTATGCATGTTCATGGCCCTTGTGGCAACAACTCTGAGTGGACACAGTCCTAGGCCCTGTGGGAGGTGGGTGCCCCATATCACAAGGTTCACACTTAGTGTCTCATCCCAGGCATCATACTGTGATTCTGCTGAACATTTTGGGAGAAGGGATGAAATTCACTATTGCCAATCAGGAGAGTATTTTAGGATTGAGTTAAGACTTGTCACACAATCAGTGGACAATGTTTGTGTAGACTGAGTCTTCCATTTTGACCTGACTCTGCCGGATTTGATTTCACAGCTCAACAATGGGTTGAGCCTATGGTGGGGGATGTGGAGGCCCAAGTGAGCAGGGTGAGGCGGGAACTGCCCTTCGTGGGCTGTGTCTCGGGTCCCACCTTGTTGAGGAGGTGAAGCAGGGCTTCCCGCAAGCAGCTGTGCCTCATATAGAAACTGATGATGGCCAGGTTGGTGCTGTAGTTATGCAGGTAGAAGAGGCATTCTTGGTAGTAGGTATTGTTCATAATCTTCCCTTCGGGAATCACCTCCAGGGAGAGGCTCTGGGTCCGAAGGGTAGCTTCCAGTTCCCTCAGGGTGGCAAAGTAATCATCATCTTGCTGACAGGAAAGGAGAGAGTGGGAGAGAAAAATGGAACTCAGTAAGTTCTCAGCAGGCATGGAAAGAGTGCTTTCAAAGGCTTTTTCACATGGAAAAATGCTCATTCTCTAGTTTTGAGAATAGAAAAGTAACAGAATAGAAAATTCTATATATTATAATATGGTATAACTTGAATTGCACTCAAAAACATAACTCAGGGGGCTGAGGTTGTAGCTCAGTGGCAGAGCACTTGCCCTGCATGTGGAAGGCACTGGATTTGATCCTCAGCACCACATTAAAAAATAAAATAAAATAAAGGCATTATGTCCACCTACAATGAATAAATAAATAAATAAATAACTCAAAAAAAATTTTTTTTGAGATGTTGCTTATATTGGCTCTGAACTCCTGGACACTAGCAATTCTCCTGCCTTAGCCTTCTGAGTAGCCCGGGCTACACATATATGCCAAAATCTTAAATACTAATTAGTCTGGGCATGGGATTATACATGAGTTTTTATTTTAATTAATTAATTAATTAATTGGTACTGGGAAATTGAACCCAGAGGCGCTTAACCATTGAACCATATCCCTAGCCCTTTTAATTTTTTATTTTGAGTCAGGCTTTTACTAAGTTGTTTAGAGATTGGCTTAGTTGCTGAGGCTGGTCTTGAACTTGTGATCCTCCTGCCTCAGCCTCCTGAGTTGCTGGGATTATAGGTATGTGTCATCATGCCTAGCAACTTTTTATTTTTAAAATATTTTTTAGTTATACATAGATACAATATCTGTATTTTGTTTATTTATTTTTATGTGGTGCTAAGGATTGAATCCAGTGCCTCACATGTGAGAGGCAAGCACTATGCTACTGAACCACAACCCTAGCCCCAGCAATTTTTTTTTATTTTTTAAAAAAATTCTGTAGTTTCCTTTACTAAAAAAAATTGACTCTGTGTTATTTATTCAACAATAACTAGTGTCTTATCTAACTATATGTAATGGGAGGAAATGAAATATCAAGTTGGCAGTTTCTAGCCAGGGCTAACACTGTCAGCTGAATCTAAGCTGACCCTTTTCCTGGGTCTCTACTGTTCCCGTCTTCCCTCCTAGAGCTGGCTTTGCTCTTACCAAGGAAATGAGGGGCCTCACTGTGGACTCCAGGTACTCAACCACATCCTGTACCAGTCTTGAGCCATGACTCAGCTGATTGAGGTCAAGAGGGGGCTTCAGACAGCGACTGAATTTCTCCCGTGCAGCAGTGAGATTCCCAGCTTTGAGGCAGGCCATGCCCCAAGCATGCCACGCCCCAGTGGAATCAAGCCCAGTCTTTGTAGAGACCTGGAAGAAAAATTGCTCCTTTTGGTGAGAGATGTTGCATACATGCAGACCTGAGGATGTGCCAATGACCTCTTTTATCCCTGTGGCTAACCACCTCCCCGCCACTCTGCACCCATGCCAGCATGTTCCCATGCTGCTCATGCCCTGGATACTTCCCCTTGGTCAAGACAACTGAGAAATGGCAAGACCATTTTCAAGGCTGAGCAAAGATAACTCATTACAGTGGGGGAGAAGTAAGCTTTGTCTTTGGCTTACCTCAACACCCAATTGGTAGTACTCTGCTTCAAGAAGCTGGTTCCTTAGCCTGGTTACTGCAGCTGGCTGCAAGATCTGATCTAGAGATGGCACATGGCGATAGGCAGCAGCAACTAAAATATTCAGTACATCTACCTTGCTGATGTAACTACAGGGAGGAAAAAACCCAGTAATGAGGTTGCAGAGTCTTACTAAGAATTGTTGTTGCTTAAAGGTTTTCTATTTCATTTTCAATGTGAAATATAAGAATTGAGAGATATATAGACATTATGAGTGAAGTTTCTAGAGTCAGACTTTTTGAACCCCAGCTCTGTGATCTGGGGCAACTGACTTAAATTTTTTCTGCCGCAACTCACTCATCTGTATAATGGGTATAACAATTGGGAGTTTTAATGAAATATCTTAGTAAAAGACAGTATCTGGGGCTGGGGTTGTGGCTCAGAGATAGAGCACTCGCCTACCATGTATGAGGCACCAGGTTCAATCCTCAGCATCACATAAAAATAAAATAAAGATATTGTGTTCACCTATAACTAAAAAATAAATATATTTTTTAAAAAAAGACAGTGTCTGAAACTTTTTAGCACTTGTTAAATGTTCATTATTGTTTAGAATGGAGATGCTCAGGGTTTCTATTTGAGACAAGGCCTTTATATTGACTATTGGGTGCTCACAAGTTACCCATTTGCTTTTTAGTCTTTTGGAATCCTGCTTACTTGGGAGGCTGTAGTATCGATGACCTGTATTCTTGGTTAATACAGAGGTCACGTTACTACCATTTCTTGCAGGTATTCCTGTGTGGAGGCATTCTGGCCCTTTTAGTCTAGGCTCTGGGACTTGACATCCTCTCCTTGGGCTAAGAGAGGACACTCCTCATAGCCCATCAGGACTGCTCCTGTGACCTTACTCCTGACATCTGAGGACTGGAAAAATGTTATGGAGGGAGCTGGGGTTGTGGCTCAGTGGTAGAGCACTACCTAGCATGTGTGAGGCCCTGGGTTTGATTCTCAGCACCATATATAAATAAATAAAATAAAGGTCCATTGACAACTAAAAAAATATTTAAAAAAATGTTATGTACTCAGAGAACCTAAAGTGTTGCACCATTCTGTCTGGTGTTGCCTGAAACAAGCCCACACCTACAGTTCCTGAATCTTGTCCCTTAGTTCTAGCAAAAAACCCTGTGTGGATCCTGACTTGTTCACCAAAAGGGATTCCGGACATCAATGAGTAGTTCTTCACCTTGTAGGGATAAGGGAAAAAGTATAGTATAAGAAAGCAGATTTAGAACCATAATATGTAAGTACATTTTAAAAATGAAAACATTTAATATAGATGATATGGATTTTGTTTTTAAACATCTATTTTTTTGTTTGTCTATCAGAAGGAGGCATGAGTTAAAAACAGTAGAAAACCCTGCAAACCAAGACCTCTTAACTGGTTTGCATGGCAGCATACAGATGAATCCCCTCCTGCTGTAAAGGGTCCACAAAGGTTCTTACATTGAGTATATCTGAATACAGAAATGGGGAGAAAGAGGTGTCATTTGAAACCAAGAAAGCCCAAGGCACCTTGGGGTGGGTGAGAATCCTGCTGAATCCTTCCTTCATTTCTGCTGCCCTCAGTCTAAAGTGAATATTTCCTCCAAATACATCAGATTTTAAAGAAGATACAGGACTTAAGTTACCTTTGTTTCCTCTCCCAAAGTTTTTTTTTTTCCCCTTTTCTTTCTTCCCCCTTTAAAAAAAATGTTGCCAGGGAATGAAACTGGGTCTCATAAGTGCTAGGCAAGTGCTCTTCTACCACTGAGCCATACCCACCCCTCTTTTTCTTTTCTTTTCTCTTTTTTGTAGTTGCAGATGGAAAAAATGCCTTTATTTTATTTATTTATTTTTATGTGGTGCTAAGGGTCGAACCCAGTGCCTCACACATGTTAGGCAAGCACACTGGCCACTAATTTTCTTTTAATAAGTAAATTTTGTCTCATTTAATTACTGCTATTTGAGATATATTTGGCTATATTTTCACTTTTGTGTTAGATCTTTTTCCATATTTCTTTTGTTTTCTCTTTTATTACATGGAGAGAATTCTGGTTTTATTCCCTCATACTCTCATCCCTTTCCAGCAATTTGGAGCTTTTTGGTTATTTTCATAATTACAATGTGCACATGTGTATTGAACCCAAAGCCTAGTGCATGTTAGGCAAGGGCTCTTCCACTGAGCTGTATCCCCAGCCCTTCTTGTTTATTTATTTACTTATTTACTGAGCTGGGGTGTCTTGCTGTGTTGCCTAGGCTAGCTTCAAACTCCTGGGCTCAAGCGATCCTCCTACCTCAGCCTCCTACTACAGCTGAGATTATAAGTGTGTGCTTTTTATGGTTATTTTAAAACTTTATTTAAATATACCTATTTCTTCATTAATCGAATTGACAAATGACATATAATTCATTGTCTCAATATAAAGAGTAAAACTAGCACCTTTTCATTTCCCCCATTTTTGTTCCACCTCCATGTGCTTTTCTCAGCCTCTGGTTTATGTTCATGGAAGTAATAATAATAATTAAATTTTTTGTAGTACATGGAGCATACCAGCTAATTTCTTGGCCCTTGATGTAGATGATTTCATTTTATCCTAACAACCCTCTGATATTTAAGTATTATTACCATTCTCGTTTTATAAAGGAGGAAACTGAGGCCCAGAGGGTTAGCAGACTTGTCTGAGGAAAGGGAGTTAGGAGTTGGTGGAATAGACAAGTACTCTGAGCAAGTGTCTGAGGGAGGCATTTATACTTCAAAGAAAATTACACTCCCTGCTCCCAAATCTCGTTAGGACAGATGTTGGGAACATGAGATGTGAGTCACGCATCTGGGTGGATGAGCATGGAATTAGGAGTTTTCATTGTCAAGTTAATAAATAGAGTCAAAGCAGGTTGTGCAGGAACCTGAAGGAGGCCTGGTCACACCTTTTCCATGGATACTTCCAGTTTATGACTCAGATTGGCACAGTGGCAGGGATCAGTCACTTCCCAAGATGCTTTTATGGATCTATTAAGCAGAACTCTCTGAGGTCAGTGTTGGGGTGGAGGTCTGTAGAAAGTCAACCACTGCACATTTGGGGAGGATATATTTCCTTTAAAAGCCAGAAAATTCCACAGACATTAAAGGTACTTCCCTAAATGAATTAAATTACAAATTAATCAGGGGAAGTCTTTACTTTCTTTTAGATAGGATACAGGTACAGGAACTCTGCTTTAAGGATAACTCTGGAAAAGAAAAGGACATAGGTAGACAAGACGGGGTGGCAAGACCACTTGTGGTCAGGTAAGTACTTCATTAACATCAAAGTGAGATGCAAACATTGCAGTGTGTCTTGTCAGAGGATGGGGAGGTGAAAAACCATAGTGATGTGTCAGAAAAAGAGGTGTATAAAAACCACCTCCATGTAACAGAATGGAAACTCATTCTTATGTACCTGTCACAAAGAGCCAAGTCTTGGCTTTGGCCAGCCTTGACGAACATCATCTTGGCACTGAAGAGTAGCTGCTTCATGATGTCTGTGAGCAGCCCTGCATCTACCTCTGGGTTGGTGAGGCCCTTGGATAGCCTGCAGCAGTGCTCAATTAGCTGGTGGCCACAGGCAATGCTGTCCCGGTGGAGATTCAGGATGGCAATGCACAAGGAGGCACTGGGGGCCTGGAGATGGAGAAAGAAGGGAGATACACTCAGTGAGTTCAGGGACCAAACCATTCTTCAAATACAATCAAAGGGCAGAACTTATCCTTCCCTTTTTGAAAGGTTGAAAGACCCTGAAAGAAGGAGTCAAAAGTTCTACTGCAAAGCAGAAGCAGAAGCAGATCTAATTTCAGTGGCACTGCCTAAGTTCTGGCTGTTAAGTTTTGTCACTTTACAGGGGAGAAGGCAGTTATATCCATATATTACCTATCTTTTGAGAATGTCCACAGGTCTCTCTCCTTTTTCTGGTGTACGGTCTCACTAATGCATTGCTCTGCATTGCTTGCTTGTCTGAACACCTTGAGGAGTCTGTTTTAAACCATGAACATGCTGCTGGTCTAATTAGTATTCCTAAAGCTTAACTGGAAACCTTTGCTAGGTCCCAGATGCCTACCCTGCTTCTGACTGCAGAATTCATAGTCCTTCTCAAATCTACCTTTCACTCCCTATCCACATTCTATGTTCCTTTCACATTAACTTCCAATTCCCCAATCATGCCCTGTAGTTTCTGACACTGTGCCTTTACTCAGACATTTTAATTTTGTACTTTTTCCTTCCTCTATCTTCATTCCCCTTGTAGTGCCCAAATTTCTGCATATCACACTCTTAACCCTTTTCCAAGACTCATCTTATTATCATTATTATTTTTGGCCCCTGGGATTGAACCCAGGGGTGTTTTACCACTGAGCCACATTCTCAGCTCCTGAGACTCATCTTAAATTCCATGAAGCCTTTCCTGGTCTCCTCTTGTACATTTCCTGAAATGTTCTTCATCCTCTGCTTTAATCAGATTACTGGTCTTAGCTCCCATATTATTTCACAGTAAGCAAGTGCAGGCCAGGCTGTATTCACCTACCTCTGTAGTTCCTGCCATACTATTAAACACCATAAAGAGACTTAAATAGCCTTTACAATTTATTACTATTACCTGCTCATAGTAAAATTCACTCCGCACCAGCTCATTTTCCTCCTCATTCAGACTCAAAATCCATTCCACTTCAGCCACTTTGGGGACTCTCACCACAGCTGAATATGGGGGGCTTTCGCTCTTAGAGCTGTCTGGCACTGAGAAGAGAATTGTCATTCATGTGTCAGTCACTGGTTTGCAGTTCAGTCTAGCCCAGTCCAGTAAGCTGGAGTGATTGGAGGCAAAATACACGCCTGCTATCTGAGGACCCTTTTCTCTCTCTTGGACTCTTTTGTTTCCTATAGGAGACCCCATTAGGCATGTCCACCTTCTTCCCCAGGCACAGACCTGGGATGATGTCATACAGTGTTGTCATACAACTCTGTTGCCTCACATGAAAAACCCTGAAAGGCACATGGTTCTCAAATAGATACTCTAAAAACAACCTACTGTGGAAGGTTATTGACCAAACTGTTAACAGTGACTACCTAGGGGGAAGGAGGAAGCCTTGGATATTAGGATGGTAGTGAACTTAGGTTATTTCTCTCCCTAACTTGGGGTTAGGGAGAGAAATAACCTATGAAAAGATAAGGACTAAATTTGTTAGTTGCTGACTTTCTTAATACTGAAAGCTAATGGGCCTGTGTGATAAGTTAATACGATAAGCATCAAGGGAAACAGACCAAGAACTGATAGAAGACCAAGAATTTTCTTTGGCAAACAAGCTGGATTGAGTTGCCATTGAGTGTAACAACTGTTGCAGGCAGACTGAAGACAGTGCCAAGTTGAGCATATGAAGAGTCATGGAGAATGTGATGAGGCCTTACCTTCTAATTGACCTGGATTCTCCTCTGGTGTACTAGAAACAGAAAGAAAAATTAAGCGTCTGAATCATTCCTTCTCTTTGTTTAGAGCTTAGTGTAGAACACTAGCATTTACTCTGTTACTCAAGTGAGATATCAGGGAATCATCCATAACTCTTCTCTCCCTCACCTGTCATAGCCAATCTCTCACCATGTCCTGTCCATTCCACCTCCTAAACACCTTTTAAATGTCCCTATCTCTCTTTGTCTCAGTAAGGGACTTCATCATTTACTACTGGAGTCTGTAATAGCTTTCCCATTGGTCTCCTTGATTCTGTATACTTGTTCTCTACTTTGAAGGTATAGCAATTTCATCATGTCAAATGATGACCAAAACTGTTCATATTAAAACCAACATAAAAATGCTATTGAGTAGAACGTGGAATCTAATTAAGTCTATTAAATAAAATAAAAGCATGGAGAATTCAAAGCAATTTTGCTTCTGGATAGTTGCTTTGGCCCTTATTCCCAGAGTTTTGGTTTCACTACTTGATAACCTTTGTTATCAGTAGTGGAAAGACTGAGTGACACTTAGCCAGCAAACCTGGTTTTGATCTGTCTTGACAAAGGTGTGAACAGTGTTTGAAAATTTTCTGGAGGTGAACTATGTGTGGGAAAGTATAAGGGCTCTTCTAACTGGGTAGCAAGCTAGGACTAGAGCTGATATAGGAAATACCCAAATATTCTGCAGGTGTAACATTCCTTCTGAGTCCAGCTGAAGCCAGTCTGAGCAGAAAATAGGTGAAGTGTTGAAGTAAGATCTGTGGCCTCAATCTGGAGAGGATTGATAAACCAAATGTCCTGATTTCAGAGAGAACAGCATGTAAGCCCCTTAAACACTGCTTTCTCTCATCCCAACCTCCTCTCATACTAGTTTCTCTGACCAAGATCAGTCCACAAACGTTTTCCTGTAGAATTAATGGCATTGTAGTATGAATGTTAAATTAAACATTTCTGGAAGTGGTCCAGATTTGAAATGTTCTCTAGAATGAGACTCTTAGAAATAAAAGGACCTGGGGAAGGGTGGAGTGGTCAGTATTAGTATCAGTCTCACTGCAGGACACTCACTCTTGGTTGTAGTAACTGTAGCACTGGTCACACACGCGGGTAGGGTTCTCTCTGCAGCCTTCCACCACCATTTTCTTGGTGGAGCAGGAACCACACACTAGCCGGCCACAGCGGCGACAATGATGACGCCTGTTAAACTGAGGAACGTCATTGGGATAAAAGAGGGAAGAAACAAAAGTGAGACCACAATCAGTCCATTTATACTTGGTTGTAGTCAGATGTGGCTTATTAAGAGCACCAGATACTTGGGCCTCTACTGAAAATGAATACAGAAGGCCTTGCCCTTAAAAAGCTGCCATTTTAAAACATCAACTCATAGGCAAAGATTCCAAGTCATGCAGAGTTTTGCAATTAATAGCTTCTGCCAAGTTTTACTTGTGTATGAGGCAACATGTGGACACAGACAGCCAAAAAGTTGTGGGGAAAGAGTGACTTTCTCAGGCAGAGAGGATCACATTTCTGCACAGTATTGATGATGACGAAAAAGCATCCTTTTTCCAAATGTTTTTACAAGTACAACCTCATTTCATTATGAGAGGTTGATAGACATCTTATACCTCTTTATCAGAGGAGCAGGAAACAGTAGAGAAATCAGATCATCATCATTTTCATTCACATTGAATTAATCTTACAGGCAGATATTGTGCTAAGTATGGTACCATTTATTGTTGTATACAGTCTCAAGAGTTCCATGAGTCAATTAACATATCACCTCTAGTTTATAAGTGGATACTGAAAGGAACTTTCCTTTCAATTCCTGCAGTGATGCTGAGGCCCTGTTCCACTCACCATAGTGAAATGTTCCCTGCAGCAGACCATGCAGAGGCTCTCGCTCTCATCCGGTATCCACTGGTGCCTGGCAGGGGGTGTTGCTGGTGGCACAAATTCTAGCAGTGGCTGACTCTGAGGGAAACTCCTCTCCCTTGGACTGGGGGAATTTACAAGGGAAACACCTGGGAGCCAGAGGTCAGAGTAAAAGGTGATCAATGTTCCAGTTCATAATTTAGAAAGAAGAATAGAATTTCACTGTTTTACAAAGCCCTGCTGAAATAAAAGATGCAGTTAATGAGCATCAGTTGGCTGGTTGCATTACAAAAGAGAGATAATGAAACACTGTGTAACTCCTCTTGTAAATGCACAATAAAACTTATCAATTATTACCAAAAAATATCAGTCTGGGGCTGGGGTTGTGGCTCAGTGGTAGCGTGCTTGCCTTACATGCATGGAGCACTAGCTTCGGTCCTTTGCAGCCCATAAATAAAATAATGGTATACTGTTCTATGATTAAAATAAATTAAAAATTAATATCATCAGGGCTGGGCTGTGGCTCAGCGGTAGAGTGCTTGCTTGTCTCGCATGTGTGAGGTGAGGCACTGGGTTCGATCCTCAGCACCATATAAAAATAAACAAACAAAATAGAGGTATTGTGTCCAACTACAACTGAAAAAAAAAAAAACCTGTAGTAGCTTAAAAAAAAAATTAAATGTCATGCCTGACTCAAGACAGCTTCTAGCTCAAATGGCCAGTGTAATAGATATTCAGGAAACAGAGACCCAGACAGGAAGGTAACTAGCAAAATCCAGCACGTATGTGGTTCTATGGGACAAATGACCCAGTTTTCTCCCCAAATAAAATAAAGATGGTGGTGCTGGGGGGAATAAAAAAGCAAAGAGGTGGGGTGATCTTCTGTTAGAAAATACTTGAAAAGATATTTTAGCCAAAGGCCACGTGTGGACATTATTTAGATCTTGATTATAGAAAAACCAGCTGTAAAAAAATCTTTACTGGGAAAATTTGAATACTGACAGGATATTTGGTAATAATGAGTCACTGTTTCATTTTTGTTTATGTATGATAATGGTGTTATGACTTTGTTTAATAAAAGTCTTTGTCTTTTAGAAATTTATACACTGGTACATGAAGCTACTCATATACCTGCAAGTCTAAATCTTGCCCTTGCTGGTTATTGTAAATAACATGGCAAATTCTCCAAGTATGGACAGGGAATGCCACAGTCTTTGATTTATGATACCTAAGGGAATTTCTTGTCACCTAGCAGAACAATTTTGGCTGGACACGGAAAACGAGAACTGAAAAACATTGACTCCTAGCAGCACCCAGAAGACAGTGCAAGCATTCTTTCCTTTCATTTAGCAAAACAATGGCTGAGCTGCTTCTGCATGTAGGCCACTGGGCATGTGCTGGAGACTGGGGAGAGCGGGTGGTGGAAAGGCTGAGGACTTCAAGGACTTTGTTTCCTGTGTGGGTAATAGAATTTAACTGGGGATTAAATACATTTGATCCTCATTATTAGCAGATTCTATATTTGTGAATTTGCCTATTTGCTAAAATCTCTATGTGAACTCAAAATCAATCCCTACAGGGCTTTCAGTCATTCATGGACATATCTAGAGTGGTGAAAATTTTAAATCTCTCAACACTCAAGTTCTCAGTTGAGGCTGAATAAAATGATGCTCTTCTCTATTGTCTCAGCTCTCATGTGGTGATCAGAGGATAGAAAAAGTACAGGGCAGCACAGAGTAAGAAGCTCTGGCTCTGGGACCAGATGAATAGAGTTTGAATTCCAACTCTGGCACTTGTTAGTGGGGTGCCTCAGAGAAGTCACTTCTCTTTCCCTTTTGCAAAATAAGGAAAATAGAATCTATGATGATGCATTATTTTTAGAATTTAAGAATATAAACTATGTGAGAAGTATGTTGTGTGTGTGTATATATATATATGTTTCTCTTTGGAGCAATTCAGAATTCACAAATTCAGTGTTTGGACATATTATAGCAAATAAAGAGAGTCAAGTGGGTATTCAATCTCCTGGGATATACAAAGCTGAAGTGAACTATGAAAAATATAATGTAAATGAAGAAAGAGACAAAAGAACTAGAAGGTCCAAATAAGGCAGAATTGAATTGAAAAAAATGGGTAATTCTCAGAATCAGTTCTTACCAGGAGCAGTAGCCGCAGAGAACTCTGCTGATGATGATCTAGACAGGGTCTCAGGATCTGAAGCCTGATGGACAATTTCCTGGAGTTGAATCACAGATTCTGTCGAGAGGGAAAATGCCAACAAAATATCGGTCTACTATAAGCATCTTTATTCCTTGTGCTAGGTATTCAGTTCAAAGCTTAGTTGGTTTTCCTGACTCTTATCTGTAATTGCACTAGTTATGTATATAGAATGACAGTGGCACTTCTGAGCCAGGAACTACATGTTTCTTAAACTTCTCAAAAATCAAGCCATATTCAGGCACAAGAGATAATGAAGCAAACACTAGGATTTTACAACATAAATCTAAAAATGCCCAGCAGGATGTGGAAGACACTTCAATGACGCACTTGATTTATAATATCTAAGAAGATATCATAGAAAAAAGAGCTGGCTGGGGACATTAGTTCATACTTATTTTTCTTCATTCTAGAAGAGGCTGAGTCAACTCAAATACAAGTAATATCTAATGTGACCCTGGGAATAAAGCGTCCTCTCCATAAGAAATAATGGCATTTAAGAGCCCACTATAACAAGGCCAGACAAATGCTATTTCCAGTATATTTGGTTCCCCAAATCTTTATGTTATTATGCATGCAGTGGTTGTTTACCATCCTTTAATTCAGGCTTGCCTCCTACTTTCTTCTAAGGCTAAGATATCTCCTATATAATAAAGAGTTGTCTCTCAAAGTATATTCCTTTCACTCTCAATCAAACCCAAAATAATGAAAGAGAAAAAAACCAAAACTGAGAATGTAGCATGGTGTCTCTTCCTCTATGTTGAATTGCCATCTAGGATGTTGGCAGTTACCTGATCGTTTCTCTCTCAGAGGGTATGGGAAGTCCAGGGCTTTGCCTGCATATCTGGAAAGCAGCAAGTCAACGTCATCCATGGTGAAGCCAATCTCCTGCCTGGTCAGCAGCTGGTGCAGGGTCTGTACAGCCACAGTGACCCAATCCACTTTCATGTTCATCAACAGCTGCTCCAACATAAGCAGAGGACTGGAGGACAAATGGGAATAGCTAGCCCGGTGCTGCTCAGGCAGGGTCAGCAGAACCTGTTTGTGAGGTAGATTTGCAGAGTAAAGAAAACAGTACACAAGTTTCAGAAGAAAGGGAGAAAGGGAAAGGTGTCAGAGACTAAAAGGCCCATAGCATTATTGCAAAGGGCCAGGAGTCTTTCAGGAAGCAAGGCAGAACTCCCATCTAAATCCTCTAGGTGGCAACTGAGAAGTACCCCAAGGATCTTTACTTAGACAAAGGGTTGGTAATCCTTGTCTATAAAGAGTAAGACAGTAAATCATTTAGTCCTCAGGATTCATAACTATTTAACTTTGCCAACACAGCACAAAAGCAACCACAGGCAAATATATAAATGAGTGACATGCTTGTGTTCCAATAAAACTTGATTACAAAACCAGACTGAGGACTGAATTTGGCAGACAGGTGGTGATCTGCTGATCCCTGGCCTAGACCCTCCAGGTTGGCTGAGCTCTTCCTGGCCCTTAATGCATTCCATCTATGTGAGGCTTTAGTTAGAAGGAACAATACAAGGTGATGTCAGTGGGCTACCTAAAGCTGGTACTTCCTATGTTCTACAGTAAATGATGAATCTAAACTCCCTTTAAAGGTCACGATCACTAGCTTGAAATGAGTTCACTGGTTCTGTTCTGTCCATTGCCAATTTATAAAGATCTTCCCCAACTTAGGTACAGTGCATCAAAAAGGTAAAAAAAGGTTTATTTTCTTAGGGGAAAGTCATCACATTCACAGCTCTACTGGTAGCTGTTCTATGTGAGAGTGTATATGCAATGGCTAATCAGAAAAATTAGAAGAGTGCCAGAGGGTCCCCTCTTTCTCCAAACTCTCCTTTATCGGATTACTTTTTCTATCTTATAATTTCTTTGATTAGTGTCTACAAGGTTATACAGAAAAGCTAAGGACCTATTATCTCATCTGTTTAGCAAGACAGACAACCCTCAAGACTAATCATCTCAAGACCGGTTTTAATTGGTTTGGAATGGAAGGCAACTACTAGTATTTTTAAAAGTCCAAATGATTCTAATAAATGTCAGAACTGATACAGTGGGTTCTATAGAAAACATGAGAGAATCAAGTAAAATTCTCTTTGGAGGCAGGGCAGTATAAGTCCTAGGAGACTTAACCAGGATATGGTGGGATGCTAGGTTAGAATTTTATATAGCACAGGCTAAGACTATTCAGGCTAAACCTGAAGGAATATTCAAGTTTTCCATTTTGGGCAGGTGCTGGCTGAAAGACCACTGAGAGGGCAGGTTCTAAAGTGGGAGTGGGGCCAGCAGTCAGCCCCTTAGTCATGCTCTCCTGAATCCCCTTTATCCTTACCTTGGATCCCATGTACAGTGCCTGGATTTCACAGTGTCGGACGTCAGTCAGTTCTCCATAGAAGTGGGTGGTGAGGTAGTTGGCCAAGAAGTGTGAAGTGGCCAAGCTAGGATGCTGGTCAAGGGACTGCTCTGTGACCTCAAGGCACATGGTGGTATCAGGGATTCTCTGCAGGAGCTGTTGCAGTGAGGGTAGGAGAATGGTGAGGCCTGTTGAAGAACTCTCAGGCCAGTCTTATTTGGTTTGAGAAAGGAATATTCAGGTTTTCCATTTTGGGCTAATCCTTTCTCCACACTCATTTTTTACTACCTCCACAGCTTCATGAAGGAGCTATGGCCTTGATAGGACCAGAGTCCAGCAGAATCCTGGACCCATCTGCTCCATGTGGCACATAAAGTAGGGCTAGGCACCTTCTTCTCAAGCCGACTATAACTGGCTCTTGAAGGCCACGAAGGGGCACATCTAAGATAGCAAATACTTTGTATGGGATTCTGCATGAAAAAGCCTTCTGAGCTGACCAATCTTCTTGTCCCTTCCCAAATGAAAAATGGGAAAAATCAGAGGCTTACTTGCAGAGCCTTTTCCTGATCTCTTCTTTCTAGAAGGTGGAGAAGATGCTTTTGATGTAGGCTGATTAAGTGTTCCCTTGGAATGGGGTAGAGGCAGCCCCACTCCTCACACAGCTCATATTCCTGGAAGGAAACACAACAGGTTCAATCCCTTTAAGTTACTGGCCTTGTTAACTTATCTAACTTTTGCCTGATTTTTCTCAGCAGTCTTGAGTCTTCTAAGCCTCAGGAATGTTTGGTACATGCTGATGGGATCTTTACTATGGGACTTAAGTGAGATCAGAAATTTAGAAACTAGAGTAACAAGGTAAAGTAAGAAAATGACTGAAGCAGGCTGACTGTTAATATAATTTTCCTTCCTTCCAGCTCTATCATAAAAAAGAGAAGCAGATGACATAATGACACTTGGTGTCAGCCCTGGGTGAGAATGGGAGAAAACTGAGAAGATGCTTCCAAGGAGGTAGCACTTGCTCAACTCTGATTATAGCCATATGAAGACCCAGTATTGTCAGACTTCTAAAAATTAAAACAATTTTTTTAAAATTAACAAATGCCCATTTTAAAAATGTTGTCAATGAAGTGAATATGGAAAAATAAGAATTCTGTGGATCAGTACTATATGGGCCAAGCAAACATACTGAGATTAAATTCTATCCATGCCCTCCTTTTACTTTCCCACCCTCAATTTAGAACTCTATTAATTTCAGGGGATAGAATTCTCAGGGCTTTGTCCAAATGTTCCAGTATGGTGGTGTCTGGGATGCCCTCCCCACACTTCTTCCTGGGGTGCCTTCTTTAGGATGTTTCCTTGTGTCTCAGGTTATGTCAGGAGCCCTACCTGAGTTCCTATGAACTTGGCTTACTTCTTAGTTGATATACTATATTATATCCACCTCAGGAAACATCTTATATCACCCATCTCCCTAAAATGTGCCACTCCAGGGCAGAGACTAAACCTAATTATTTTTGTTCTCACTGCTATCTAGCATAGAGACCCCTATATCCAGTAAATATTTCCTGAACAAAAGAACATCTGATGGCTCAGTGGTCAAGTGCACCCGAGTTCAATCCCGGGTGTACCACTCCCCCAAAAAACAAAAAACAAACAAAAGTACACCTGAGTGAGCATCCACTTTTTTTTTTTTTTTTGATATTAGGGATTTGAACCTAGGGCCTCACACATGCTAGGTAAGCTCTATTACTTAGCTACATCCCTAGGATCTCACTAAGTTGCCTAGATTGGCCTTAAACTTGTGACCGTCCTGTCTCAGCCTCCCGAGTAGCTAGTTACAGGTGTGCACTACCACACTCAGTGAACATCTACATTTTGAGCTATGGTATATCAGATTCTTAAAAGTCAGATAAAATTCTAGTTAATACTCGAATGGCCAATAAACATAGGAAAGATATTCACATGTATTACTAATCATGGAAATATAAATTAAAACAATGAGATACCATCTAATGGGAAAAAATCGAAGTTGGACAACATAAAAAGTTGGTGAGTATGTGGAGCAATAGGAACTGTGTGTGAGAATATAACCAGTAGAATTTGATATCATCCTAGCGAAGGTGAGGATGCTCATGCTGATGACACAATAATTCTGCTTTTACATATACATTCTGTACCTAGTGTACATAGTATAGAAAAACTCACAATGAATACAAGGATAAAAGCATTGATTGTATTATTCTCTACACTTATTAGTATGCTGGCAAATTTCACAATTAAAAAAAAAAGGAATGTCATATAATTATAAAACTGGCTACTGATACATAGAAAGGGGTCTATACAACCAGCTAAGGAGTTGCAGCTCAGCAAGGAGAATGAAGGGGGTACCACTCTGGAAAATGATACCTGTGCTTCTAGAATCATGTTCATGACAGATGATGGGTCCTCAACACAGCGGCTCCTGAGGGTCTGCCAGTCATGCCACACTGGGGGATCCTGCAAGCCTAGAATCTAAGGAAAGACAAGAGAATCCATCAATCAACACTAGCTTCTCCCTCCCTCCATGAATGAGTCACTGATGAGTTCAGGGAAGAGCCATCCCTAGATGTCAGGCCCAAAGCCCAGTGTTAGAACTTTTAGGAAAGAGGAGGAAAAGAGCAAACAGGGCAAAGATTGTTTAGAGAGGAGAGTGAACTTCCCTGGGAAGTAAAATCAAGCAGAAAAGGCTAAATGGGAGGCCAAGATCAGGGCCTTTTACTGGGGAAGACAATTCTGAGAGGCTCAAAGCTTATCCAGCCTTCTGGGGTCACTTGTTCCAAGCTGCATCTCAAAACCCCACCCAAGACATTTTCTTCTGGCCTTTCCTGCAGTATTTTAGCTTTGCATGAAAACTGTTGAAGAGCCTCTTTAGGTGGATATAACACTTGTCCCACAACTATCTTTTACTAAAAATTGTTACTCTCATGCATCCTTTCAAAAGGGCTCTTGAAATTTAAAAATCTTTAAGAAAAAACATACTTAAAACATACACAAGCTTAAAAAAACCTTGTGGACTGTAGAGCACCATTTCAACAACTTTGTTATTATTAACCTTGCTTGATGCAGATGTATTTAAAATAACAGGAGTAAATAACACAGGAACCATACAGGAGGCCTCCTCTCCATTCACCTAAGAACTGAAGTCAGATGCAGGGTAAAGTCAGCCAATATTCTGTGTTTCTTAAAATCCCTCATCATATGAACATAGGCAGAGGTTGTTAACAGGGTGAGAAGCCTGTTTCCTTCTCTTGATGTCAGCGTCCATACCTTCTGATACACCTGAAGCTCTGCCAACTTCCTCTGCAACTCAGACTTTAGTCCTTCTTGGACAGTTGTGTCTGAAATGCAGTAGGCCAGGATTTCCAGGCACGACTCCAGGGGCCACCTGTCCACAAACCGTAGGGCCAGCTGACTTCTCAGAGATGCATCCTTTATAGGAAATAGGTATTGCCAACCTTCCTTGTCTAAAAGACACATATGATGACACAACAAGAGACAGCAAGTTTAGCAATAGAAATACTCAAGAGGCCAGTTTACTTCTTAAGGGAGGGCTTTGTTTGATCTCTTAAAACAGGAGCTTGGAAGACCTTAAAGATTCACGTAACCTTAACTAGTTTTTACATTTGAACCATTAGATGACAAGGAGAAATCCCACACCCCTATGTGTTCCTTTATGCAAACCTGACCATAGTCACGGGACTTTCAGAAGGCAGAGAAGTGGGTAAGGACAAGGAGAGGAGAAAAAACAAGGCAGGAAGGGGGTCTGAAGAAGCTTTCTATGTTTGGCAAGATGCATATAGAACATTCTTTCAGATTCATTTCATCAGCGGAACTGTGGTTTTCCCTGCAATTTCTACTCTGCATCTTATATAATCACTTGAAAGTTACTTCAGATAAACTAGTTTCACTCCGTGGATATTTGCTATCTTACTACTCAGTAGCTCTCTCCCACACCCATTTCATAGCTCTGATCTTAGAATACAAAAAACAGACTCCAAGGACTTAACATCATAAAGCCTCTCAGTGGCTTTGTCCACCTTCTCAAGGAAGTGTTTTCTCCTTCCCAAAGGGCAGCCAAGCCTCCTACCCAAAAGCCATTCTCTACAGCACACCTGACTCTTGTTTTGTCTAGTGGAGGATTGTAGCTTATTGGCTTTCCATTCTGGTTACAAATAAAAAACTCTTGGGGCGCTTTTAAAGTACATTTTTTTTTTTTAAATGTAGATGGACACAATATCTTTACTTATTTACTCTTATGTGGTGCTCAGGGTCGAACCCAGTGCCTCACATGTGCTAGACAATTGCTCTACCACAGAGCCACAACCCCAGCCCTCATGGTTTTTTTTTTTATAAATAAAATTAGAATACAGCCATGCTCATTCATTTATGTATAGGCTATGGCTGCTTTCATGCTACAGTATCAGAGTTGAATAGTTACAATAAGGATCATATAGCCTACAAAGTCCTTTACAGAAAAAAATTGCTTATCTGTTTTAAAATCATGACTTGCGTGAATACCATCCTGGGCCTTTGAGAATGAAGCCTAGGTTATGTTTCCTTTACAGAATTTCAAAATAATTCTGATAAGCAGAATTGAGACTACCAGTTACTGGTTGTGTGCCCATTCTAGAGTAGGATAAACTTAGATTCTAACTTCAAATCTACCACTTGCCATCCTGGCAACTTTTCTAACCTCTCAGAACCTTGATCTTCTCTCAATAAAATGAAGTTATGGTGATACCTTTCTCTAGAGTCATTCAATGTGATGTTATGCTTGGTAAATACTTGCCACTAGTGAAAGAGATAGGTGTAAGTTTTGCTCACCACATGCCACAGCACAGCTCAGGACTGCATCCCTTATGCCACTCAGATCGTCTGCATCTCGCCCGTACACTTCAGTTAACTGTAGGGCCCGTAGCCAATCTCTGGTCACCAGGGCTTCCTCAAAGGCCTTGGTCAGTACATCCAGGGCAGTGGGAGAATGCAGGCCCAGGAGCACAGTAGAGAGACTGGCCTGACCACAAAGACTGGATGCCAGACTTTTCCCTTCCTCAGAGGGCCTGCGTAGGGGCTCCCAGGCTGCCAAGAGGGAGGCCTTGAGCGTAGGGAACTGTTCCAGGAGGTGGTCACACTCCTGGGCTACCTGCTCTGCAGTCATAGGCATCTCCTTGTGACCACGCAGCTCCTTCCACAACAAGCTGGGCTTGCTGACCTTCGTTCCTGGGGAAGCCCCCAGGCAGGCCACTGTGGCCAGAAGTTTTGAGCAGGACTTAAGGAAGGACAAGGCAGAGGAGGTAAGAGCTGGAAGCGATGAGTCCTTTGGGGAAGAATGGGACTTTCTCTCCAATGTGAAATTCTCAGTTGGCTGAGGGGAACTTGGCATAGAAAGGGGGAGATCATTCAGGCAGTGGGAGGTGTGCTGCTGGGCCAGGACTCCCAGGTGGTTCAGAAGGGATGATGTCTGCTGGCTTTGTAGAGAAGAACAAAGAGTAAGTGGCTCACAACAGCAGCTGACAATGACCTGTGGCACACTTAGGCTGAGACCCTCTCGGGCCAGAAGGGCTGCCAACCTAGAGGGAGAGAAGCAGAGGGCATGTAAGATCTGAATACATAGGCACTATCATCCAGTCTTAATTTCTTAATGCTTACACAGCAAATGCAAATGAAAGTACTTTTTTTTTAAGTATCCGTCCCCCTGCCCCCTGCTTTTTTTTTTTTTTTTTTTTGCAGCACTGGGGACTGAACCCAGTCTTGTGCAGGCAAGTGCTCTACCACTGAGCCACAGCCCTTGCTCTTTCCTCTTAAATATACACATGTACACATACAGAAGGTAGTCTATTGGATGCATTGATCTGTCCTTTACTTTTTCATTTAATAACATATTTGAGAAATCTGTCCTTACCCCTCTGTATAGAGGACCCTTATGATTTTTCAGTTACAAAATATTCCATTATGAGAGGAACATAACTAGTTTCCTATTAGTGAACAATGGAGTCTTCTGATCTGTTGCATATACATTACTTTTCATATGTATAATAAAGCTTCAGATGAATTCCCCCAAATGAATTGGTCTGTCAAAGGGTATATAAATTTGCAAATTTTATAGATACTGACAAATTGTTTTTCCACTGGAGTTATACCAATCTGTAACACATTAACAATCTCTGAGAATGCTTATTTTCCTACAACCTACTTAACTATAGCTTTCAAGCTTTTGAATTTTGCCTAGCCATAGTGAAGATTTATCTATACTTGCAATATACATGTTAGCAGTGGCAGGAGACAAAAAAAAAAAAGTACGTTGATTTTTGAAATACTGTAAGAATCAAGTCTGGAAGAGATTTCCACTCCCTGTAGTGACCCAAAGCACAACCCCACTGAGCCCTTGCTTTCCTTGATGAAACAATCAGGTAGGGTCAGGGCTGACTCCCATGGGGTGGCTCCTACCTGTCAGGGGGAACTTGTTTCTCAAGCAGGAGATGTGACACCAGTTGGGAAGAGCTCTGTTGTAGAAGAACAAAGGGATTTCCTATCTTGACTTCCACATGATCTATAAAGACAAAGACAATGACCTTTGTTTGTACCACTGGACTCCAGTAGTTCAGAGTCCTGTTTCTTTGAATCCATACAAAAGTACAATGTCAAATAGAAAACAACACTGAAAGCCCTTCTGTTGATTCGTGCTAAGCAAAGGGTATCTAAACATGATCCTGATCATAAGTTTATCTAAACCAAACCACTACTTTAAAGATCTTTAACTCAGAAAAATTGCAGGTCTAGCCACTCTTGCTCACTTCAACCTGAACGAAGGGCATGCAGTACAAGTTGACTAATCCCTATACAAAATGCTTGGGATCACAAGTGTTTTACATTTTGGAATATTTGCACACACAAAATGAGTTATCACAGAGATGAGACCCAAGTCTCATACAAAATTCATTTCTGTTTCATTATACTTTAGATAAACACAGAGCCTTAAGATAACTTATACAATATTTTTAATGTGCTTATGTTTTGACTGTGACCTGTCAAATGTGAAATCCCCCACTTAGGACATCAGATTGGTGCTCTTAAAGTTTTGGATTTTGGAGCGGTTAGGATTTGAGATTAGGGTCACTTACCTGTTCTTGCTCTGTGGACTCAAGAAAGAATCTGGTACTCATACCAAAAATTTGATTTCTCTACTGGATCCTTAAAGCCACAATGGACCCAAGCTCTGACAGAGATATTTCTTAATTCTATGAGATTTTTATTGACTATTCCCATGTGCTGCACAACTGTACTTAGAACAAGATGTATTAAATGGAGATGAATAAAAGAAGAATCTTATAAATCTGGTGTCCTTAGCTATTGCTGTACTCAGAACCTCTTAGTTAACCACCTTTTCTCTACTTTGCCCTAAATACCTATAGGTCAGTCATGACTACATTTCCTCTTTTTTGCTACTCACCAGGTTCAGAGTTCAAACTCTGAAGAAGCACTGCAGCCAGTGTGTGGCAGTAACTGAAGAAGGTGCCCACATAGTCAGTCTGTCTGCTGTCTGCCACGGTCTGTTTGCTCAGGTTCTTTTGGAGGAGCTGAGCCTGGATACGCACAGGGTGGGCCTCTGCCTCAGGAGCTTTCTGGGCTGCCTGTTCCACCAGGGAAGACAGTGGAGTACTCCTAGACTCTGAGAGGAGTTATGGCAGGGGAAGGGACATAGGCTTTAGTCTGTACATCCAGTTTTGGTCAATTTCTGAACAATACATAAACTGAGCCTTCTATACACTAACTGGGGCATTCTACAGCTTGGGCAGTACATGAGGATGGGGGAAATAAAATCCTAATTTGGTAATCTGCACAAAGTGATTCTCCGTCAGGAAGATCAGGCAACATAATTCTGTTGGTGCCCTGTTGTCTCTGGAGTGAAATATCTTTCTAAAAAGCACAGCAAGCTTTTGAGAAGGGTTGATCAATACATACTAAGTACCTCCTGAGTATACTTCCCATAAGAATAAGAAAAATGTTTCTTCTTTTTTTTTTAGTTGTAGTTGGACACAATATCTTTATTTATTTTTATGTGGTGTTGAGGCTCGAACCCAGTGTCTCACATGTGCAAGGCGGGTGCTCTACCACTAAGCTACAGCCCCAGCCTGAAAAATGTTCCTTCTAACAGAGTGTTAATCATTCTTTCAAACAAGAGGTGGGGAAATGGTTGAAGTTCAATTTTGAGATGTAACCCAGCCAACTAAGGGCTGGTCGAGCCCAGTTCTGGGGTCCTGGGCCTCAGCTCCAAAGTGCTCCTTCCCTCTCAGCTGTTGCTTCTCCCAAGTTCAGCTCATATCTGCTTATCTGTTCCTGAGAAGACAGCCCCTTACCTGGCAGTGCAAGTGCTTCTCTCAGCGACTGAAGAACCTGATCCAACTGCTGGGAGAGGGTGATGTGGCTGGCAATACAGTCCTCGGTTAGGCTGGGCCAGCACATCTGAAGCAGCTCAGTGATGCTGTAGCGGGGAGGGCCTCCTCCCTTTTCTTCCACAGTCTCTATGGAAAGCAAATGAAAAAGTGAAACAGGCTGTTGACCTAATGTCCCAAGTCCCAGGGGAAAAAAAAAAAAAGTGTGGGGCATAGGAGGGAAGGAACTCACCTGATTTAGTTTGTCCAGCTAATATAAGTGGACAATTGAGAATCTTAGTGATTTGCTGAAGAACAACTGGAAAACCTTGAATACCTTCAGTATTGAGGAGTACCTGGTCTAGCCGTCGACCTGGAAATAGATGAAGGAAAAGGAAATGCAGAAAATTAGATACTTCCAGAGACTGATACTCAGTATTGTATTTACTTGTGTAATTTTATCTTTCCTAATATTAAGGATGAAATAAATGTTGGACCATTTTGGATGATGATCCTCAAGTCTGATTTATTCCATGCTTGAGGTTGTAGGGCTCTGGTGCGATGCCTCAGCAGTCAACAGCCCCAGATTCAGAATCTCTGGCACTCTTGTGGAATTTGCTGTCCCAAGCCAAATGGGCACTTTTCGTAGATTTGCCTTGGTTATTACCTTTGGCTGTGGATTTGAGCTGGTATCCTGTCTTCTCTGATTGCCTAATTCTGTCTTCATATACCTGATTCCTCTAAGAATTCCATCTGCACATTCTAGGACAATATTAACCTCAAGGCATGATTCTCCCTGCAATTGTGATCCACTGAATTTTCTTTTATACATGGCTTATAAATTCATGATGGTCCCAGGTTTTAAGGTAGGTAGATTCACCCAGGAGGGGACTTCGGTCTAAATGCAAAAATCCATTTGTACTTTTCTTTTCTGTGGTGCTGCAGATTGAACCCAGGGCCTCAGGCATGACAACTACATGCTCTGAGTTACAACCTCAGTCCTTATTTGGGCCATAGTTGAATGTATATTTCTTCCCTAAATTTTTTTATTAGAGTTTTATAGTTATACATGGTAGTTGGATTCATTCTGACAAACTCATACATGCATGGAAATTGATTTCAGTTCATGAACCCCACCTTTTCCCTTTTGTCCTCCCCTTCCTCTCCCATTCTCCTTCCTTTACTCTATTATAGACTTCCTTTTGCTTGTCTATTAATTTAATATTTGATTGGTTCTTTATGTTATCTTTCCTTCCCCCTTTCCTTTATTTTACTCTAGTTTCTGCACAAGAGAGAGAACATTTGACCTTTGAATTTCTAAGTTTAGCTTATTTCACTTAGCATGATATTCTCCATTTCCACTCATTTACCAGCAAATGCCATAATTTCATTGTTTTATGTGACCAAGTAGAACTCCATTGTGTGTGTGTGTGTATATATATACACACACATTACATATATATATATATATATATATATATATATATATACACACACACACACACACACACACACACACACACACCAAAATTTCTTCATCCATTCATTTATTAATGGGTGTCTGGGTTGATTCCATAATTTAGCTATTGTGAATTGTGCTGTTATAAACATTGATGTGACTATATCACTGTGGTGTACCAACTTTAGATCTTTTGTCTTCCCTGAACTTAAAGCTAAGCCAAGAAAGAATATCCCCAAATGATTGTAGGCTGCTATATGCAGTAAGAGAAGACTCTCAACAGACTATATTTATGCCATCAGATTGGACATGAGGACATTTAACATTTACTTTCTCCTTGTTCTCTGTCTCCTTATAATCACTTTCATCTTTCAGAAGTTATCAAGTCTCTCAGGAGCTTATCTCCTCAACTGAGAATGAAGGGTAAGGCTAGCAGCCCACTCACCCTGGCTTTCAAGGCTACTGTGCAGACGCCGTTCGGCTGTTTCCAAAAGCTGCTTACAGGTCTTCCAGAGCTGGCACTGAGAGCAAGCTAGGTCAAATGCAGCCATGGCAGGGGGACTGAGGTCTTCCAGAACCCCTCTCAAGGGAGCGGTGGGCTCCATTACAGTAGTGCTTATCCAAAAGTCTTCCTGGAGCGTAGGAATAGGGTCTCCAGAGGTGCTAAGAAGCTTGTCAGTCACATCCGAAATAGAGTAAAATACCATCCCTGGAAACCCAGTATTGGAGAAAGAGCAAGGGGTTAAAATGATTCTAATGACTACTTTCATTATAAAAAGTAGTTATTTAAACAATGTTCAGGCTGTTCTGCACAGGATCTACGAATATCAGGACTGTCAATACAATTCACTCCTATAGTATCAAAACAGAGGCATGAACAGGAAGACCAAGAGAAACTCAGAAAAGCTAAAATGAGGGAGGGTGTCTTCCAAACAGGGTCTAAAGGTAGGCTGAGAAAGAAAGAAGCAGGTCTGTGTTCACTAACTGGAAGAGATATTTGACATACATTCATTATCAAAAAAGCAAGGTAGAAAGCAGTATTCATTGTAAAAGCATATTTATATACCAAATATAAAAAGGATGTACCTATATTTTTAAAAATAGAGACGATTTCTGGGAGGACATGTGATGGTAATTTGATGTATAGGCCAATAAGACTCATAAGAAATATGAAAATGTGGGGCCAGATTCTACCAGATTCTCAAGAAATAATGGAAGATGAGCTTTTTGGCAGTGTAGCCATAGCTGGGAAATTGAGACATGTGGACCTATGGGCTATAACTATTGATACAGAGCCTCTTTACTTAGGAGATAATAAAATTGTATGCTTTATCTCTCAATAATTACATGTGAAGGAGAAAAACGCTTGTGTGTGTGTGTGTGTGTGTGTGTGTGTGTGTGTGTGTGTACTGGGGATTGAACCTAGGGACACTTAACCACTAAGCCACATCCCCAGCACTTTTTTGAGACAGGATCTCACTAAATTGCTTAGGGCCTCGCCAGGTTGCTAAGGCTGGCTTTGAACTTGTGATGCTCCTGCCTCAGACTTCTGAGCTGCTAGGATTATAGGTATGCACCACTGTGCAGGCAGAAAATAAACTCTTAACTATTTCCCAAAGCCTAAGATAGTGACTGCAAAACACATGGTGGGAATCACATTCATGTTCTTATTTAAGTCACAGAAGACAAGCTCGTTGGAGTGGCAAGTAATGTGAATACTTGATCAAGGAGGTTGGGTATGGCTTGAAAACTACTCTGAATGTGCCAGGGTTGCTATTTTTCAAGACAGTATGCCCATCCTCTTGAAGAGCTTATGATTTGAGTGATTTCTCCCTTCACATCCACTGCCCCTAGCTACCTTCTCAATTATAGTGGTTGCAGGGAAGAAGCCTGACCTGCTGCGGCAGCGCTGCCAATAGCCTGTAGAGTTGAGCGGCCACTTCCAGTCCTCCGAATGGTGCTGCTACCCCCATCTGAGTTCTGGTTTTCAATCTTGTGCTCTACTCGGGCCAGCTCCTGGATCACTTCCTGGTAACGCTCCATGAACATCAGTTCCCCTGCACTGGGTGAGGACTTCAGGTTGAATGTGAACACCACCTGTCATAGGAGAGGGAGGAACATGGCTGTGGTGGGTCCAGAGAGTCAGGCAATGTCCAGAGACAGTAGGTCTTGACAATCATTGGACTATGGCCCTCAGATGTCTTCTTTGGAGGGTCAGAAGAACACTGAATGTTAAAAGAATAGATCAAATATAAAAATAACCCATAAAAGACAGAAAACCAAAAGCCCAGTATAAAATAAGCAAAAGATTTAGACAGTTTCAGAGGAAATACTTTGACCAGTAGAGAAATGAGAAAATATTTTCACTTACTAGTAATCCATGAATTAAATAACAATATTATTTTGCATCTATCACAACAACAAAGGGTAAAAATAAATCCTCAGGGTGGGGGGTGGTGTAGAGTTAAACTGTCACAATTGTTTTTAAATAGTAGTTTGGCAATCTATAAAGCCATACAAAAATAAATCTACATAAATGTCTATAAAGACATTTTTAGTCTTTTGACCCAGTAATTTTTACAAGAAAGTTTGTTAAGGAAATAATCCAAAAGGCTTAACACCTAAAGGTGATCATCTTGGCATATTACAACTATCATAAGGTTGAAAATAACCTGAATGTAGGACAAAAGGAAAATGGCTGAGTGCTACTTGATCATAATACAAGGTCACTAAAATTGAAATTATAAGGTCGATGCTTGTATTATAGTGTAAAAAAAAGACACAACTTAAAATTCTAGACATAAAATAATTTCAGTTACATAAAAGGGCATATTTTTTCAACAAAAAATATTTGCTAAAAAAATACTGTCTTTAACATTGGTTGTTCTATTCAACAGGGTTAAAAGTAATTTTATTTTGTTAGTAATACTTTCTGGAATTTTCTTATAATAAGCACAACTTGTTCTATAACCATGTTTAAAAAATAAAGTTTTTATTAAAGAAAAAAAAAAGAAAAAGAAAAAGAACAACAACAACAACAAAGAAACCAAGGATAAAGGAGAGGAAGAGTGTGGAGGTCATTTAGGGATCAAGGCATCATGAGACTCCCAGCTGACCTCCTTTGGATTTGAATTTTAAGAGAGGCTGGGGAGCAACAACAACAAAACCAAAGAAGCCAAATTTTAGGGCTGGGAGTGCAGCTTGGTGGTAGGGCACTTGCATAGCATGTGTGAGGTCCTGGGTTTGATCCCTAGTGCCAAAAAAGCAAAACAACAGAAAGAAAGACTGGGGAGGGTTCTCTCTTGTCCAGAGGATCATAATTATCATTATTATTAAAGTATGAGATATAATCATAATATAATATGAAATATAATCCTATCTCCTAGATTGATTCCTTATCAACTGAACTCACAGAAAAAGAAAAATTCTGACCGGCACAAGTATTAAAAATAGACAGGAGGGGGCTGAGGTTGTGGCTCAGTGGTGGAGTACTTGCTTAGAATGCATGAGGCACTGGGTTTGATCCTCAGCACCATGTAAATGTAAAATAAAGATATTATGTCCACCTAAAACTAAAAAATAAATATTTAAAAAAAATAAACCAGGAGTTTTGAAAACTAATAGTACTATTGAGTTTAAGCAACAGCAGAAGATTTTTGCATTTCTCACAGCTTGTGTGTAATCCTCTTAGCAGTCCTTTGAGGTGGGAAAAGCAGGTATTATATTTAACTTCAACTTTCAAATGAGAATTCCAAAGCTCAGAGAGGTCAGGAGTCTTTCTGATCGTTACTCCATTGCTGCTTCCCTGATACACCATGGGCGTGCTAGGTTGGCAGTCCCTTATATTTCTTGTGTATTGAACTGGTATTCTATTTATTATTTTTAAATTTTTTGGTGCTGGGGATTGAACTCAAGGGTGCTTTACAACTGAGTTACATTCCCAGTCCATTTTACTTTTTATTTTGAGACAGGTTCTCCCTAAGTTACCCAGGCTAACCTTAGAACTTGTGATTCTCCTGTATCAGTCTCCTGAATTGCTGGGATTTATAGGCATACTGCACTGCACCCCATCATTCTATTTATTATTAAAAACTGTCTACATCATGATTTTTAACTATATGAAAACATGGATGTGTTCAGATAAAGAGTATAAGGAAAGAAACCAAAATATTTCACTACTTTGAAGGAGTAGAATCATGGCTGAATATTTTTATCATCTTTTGCTAAGAACATAATTCAATATCTCTAAATCCACAATGTTGCAGACTGGGCCTGGAAACTCCTTTCTAATTCTGTTTGATGTGGCTCCCCAAGTGATCCTGAATGATTCTGGTGTTACGATTATCCAGCTTTACCTGAATCCCAGTGGGTTATTGCCAGAGACTGACTAGGCATTCTATACTCTGACAAGGTGCAGCTGAAGCTCCTTTACCTGATGGGCTTCTGCAAAGTTTCCTCGAAGGATACAGGATGCCAGCAGTGACTCAGGTGGAGAGAACATCATGGGGATGAGTGAACTTTGAGGTTGAGGCTGCAACCGGCCATCTAACTCATTCCTCCCAGAGACAGTGCTCAGACTCCCCTCTGTTGGAACACAAGAACATGGGGTGGGGGTGGGGGGCGTTCAGAGAAACAAGAGAAATTGTGGAAAAAAACATACTGCTGTGTCCTCTTACCTCAAAGTCCTTCTCTAAAAAGGTACACAAGTGGGTCTTGATTTTTTCCTTGAATAAAGCAAACCTATGCTATCATCTTAGAATAAAAGTCAAGTACCAAGTATCTTCCTTGGCATTCACCTGTTTCTCTTTGTTCATGGGTAACTCAATTGAGTGTGAAACAGCCCTTTCTCCTTTTTCAGCTGAAATCTGTTTAGTCATCTGCAGAACAACCTTCTTGAACACAAACATCAATTGCTCAGTCCTGATTTTTACACCATAGTATATGGCAACTCCGTGTCAGAGCACAGCTGCTTGAAGCTGGCAGCTGGTTGGAACCCACATACCTGAAGTACTTGTGCTCAGCTCACTACTTGTACTTTCCAGGGATGGATTGGAACTTCTGTCCCGGCCATCTTGTGGTGTCAGGAAGAAGAGAGAAAATAAGGCATCAATTGTTTATAGTGCAGAAAGTGTGAAGCCGACATGAAAGCCAAGATCTTGGTAGAGTGAGAGGATAATGGCTAACTACTACCCATGCTGCTCCTACAATGGCAAGGGCAAAGTGTAGGTTTAATATGGCCCCAGTCTCATCTGGTAGTAGCCTATACCATTAGTTTCCAACTTGTAGGTCTTGGAGCCCTAGGAGTTTTCAAGTTATTTTTAGGGGTCAGTGACTACAATGAAAAAATAAAAGCACAACAATTATAACCAGAGAGCATTAGAGTGCAAAGAAGGGTTACAAATGTTCTGACATAGAAAATGTATCCTTTTTTAAAATTTTGTATGTTTTTTAGTTGTAGATGGACACAATATCTTTATTTTATTTATTTATTTTTTCTATTTGGTGTTAAGGATTGAACCCAGTGCTTCATGCATGCGAGGCAAGCGCTCAACCACTGAGCTACAACCTCAGCCCCAGAAAAGGGTATCTTTATATTTGAAAAGATAGGGAACCACAGTGTGACATGTGGCCTACCAAAGACCACCCTGTTCAAAGCCCTGGAAGAAAAGCTTCTTGACAGTAGTTTTCCAGAAGTGCTAGGGCTTGCCAATGAAGCCTTCTGTCTTTTAGCATGGTCATGAGGGATCATATCACCCCATGCAAGGAATATCCTTAGCTCAGTGTTTGGGTTCCCCTGTAGGAAGAGAAGCAGAGAGCTGTAGGAAAGATATGATGGGCTGCACGTTCTTGGGTTGGGTGAGTCAACTGGATATAAACTCTGCCTTCTGACCCAAACCAATTAACTGAGTGGTTTGAGGGCCTGAGAAACTCAGACATGAAGTTGTTCCAGGTTTCTCTCACAGTATCCTCCAATCTATCCAGTATGTTCACCTTTTTTATTGCCACTTAGCTAGAGTCTATTCATTCCCTGGAGCTTGGTTCCAGTCATCTCTGTCATGAAATCTGTTTCCTTGACTCTCACAGGCCATGCTTATGTTCTCTTCTAACAGATTTCTTTGGTTTTCAGGGAGTCTATCAATTTAGTTTTTCATGTATACTGGCTATGCTGGTACACTACACATTCTTTGAAGGCAATGGCTTGATCTATGCCTTTATTCACTTCTGACAAGATACCTAGTATTACTGTTTGGCACATGGGAAACATTTATTTTTTGTTAATGGTCAAAAAGATCAGTACCAAAAACCATCATGAAAATTTAATTATGTAAAAATTTAATATTGTACTCCTGAATAATTCTACTGTATTAAAGACCTTTAAGTAATTCTACTGTATTAAAGACTTTTAAGAAAAGCTAATTCAAAAGACAAAAATAGAGAAAAAATTATAGCACATAATTTTCATTATAGCACAAACTATTTTCATTTATATATATAAATGAAATTATATTTTCTATAATTCAACAAAACTGGTAAGCCCAATAGAAAAATGAAACTTATATATGATTAGGTAGTTCAAAACGGCTGGCAAGAGGTGTGCCTTGGTTGTTCAGCCATCTGCCTGTCTGGCCTTTGGGCCTGGGGAGGGCCAGCCCCTGGGAGGCGGACTATGTCTCCTGACCATGCAAGGATCCTTATCACACAGGAAGAACATTTTACTGACATTTAGGCCTTTTATATTTATCTCAAAACAAAGTTCTAAAGTCAGGACATGGCAGATTCAACACAGAAAGAAGCCCTAGGGATGCCATTTATCCTGCTGACTTCTCCAGGAAGAAAACAGCAACTTATGTGGGTCTTCTGCTGCAATTTGCTTAATTACCAAGAAACTATTTTGCAAACTGATGTTTCATTTCAAACAGTGGGTTAGGTCCATTAATTTGTGAATTCTTTGCCTTTTGCTCCAAATAAAATGACTAAATAAATGGCAAGTTTAGATGAAAAAGAAAATATATATGTATGTATATATAAGTGGCTAATAAGTGTATGAAAAAAACCACAATCTCATTCAAACTGAAAAAAAATATTAAACAGTGGAACATTGTTCTTGTATTGATTGTATTGGCAAAATATTAAAAAATCTGATATACTCACTGTTGATGAATGCGTGTGTAAATGGGCAACCACATCTAGTTTGAAGAAATATAAATCAGTCTACTCATTTTCAGGAATTTGATAATGTCTATATTTTATATCCAAATACCTCTGATCTAGCAGTTCTGCTAGGAACTTATACCACATAAGTATACATTACTATATTATGTAAGTATGCACAGAGAATGTATAAGGTTGGTTACTATAGCATTGTTTTTAATAGTAAAAACTCAGAATCAACTTAAATGTCCACTAATGGAGTAAATAGGACAATGTAATACTACGCAGCCTTAAAAATGTTAAGTGAAAGAAAGTTCTTAGCCATGTAAGGTAGGGCATGCCTGTAATCCCAGCAATTTGGGAGCCTGAAGCAGCAGAATTGCAAGTTCTAGGCCTACCTGGGCAACTCAGTGAGACTCTGTCTCAAAATAAAAAATAAAAAGGGCTGAGAATATAGCTCAGTGGTAGAGCCCTCTGGGTTTAATTCTCAGTATCACACACACAAAAAAATATTCTCAATATATAATATGATACATTCATGTATATAAAAGGATATGTGAACAAACCATGTTGCAATTCTTAACACACACACACACACACACACACACACACACACACACACACAGTATTATGCATCTGTATATGTGAAAAGATATGTATGCTTGTACTATAAAGTTCTGGAAGGATATGTAAGAAACTATTTAATGAAAGTTTGCCGTGGCATATGCATGTAATCCTAGTGACCAGGAGGCCAAGGAAAGAGGATTACAAGTTCAAGGCCAGTCAGCTACTTAGTAAGGCCCTAAAAGCAACTTGGCAAGACTATGTCTCAAAATAAAAAATAAAAAAGGGCTGGGGATATAGCTCAGTGGTAAAGCACTTCTGGGTTCAACTCATATTGAACCCATATTCAATTCAAAAAAAAAAAAAAAGATAGAAAGACTTAACTTGGGCAAGTGAGACCAGGATGAGCTCATAATGCTCATAATACTTGTTGTTTTGACCATGTGCTTTATCTTAAAGAATATTATACAAGTGGTGATATACCATTTGCCTGGTATATGGGAGTGAGGCATGGAAAGAGAGCTCTTTAGATTACCTGCACGGCTCCGTCTTGTCCGACGACCCCGGCGAAGGCTAGAGCACCGAGGAGCAACAGGCCGATATCTTCGGGATGGTTGTTCCTCTGAAACAGACAACATAAGGACAGGGATCAACTTTAATTTGGCCTGTCTCTTGGGGGAATGAGTAGGGCATGATCTGTACTGACCTCTGAGACATGGAGCACTATCCCAGAGTTCTGGCACTGGTTGCTAAGATGATAATGCTCTGAGTAACCACAGAGTGATTCCCACACACTCCTACCTTTCTAGGATTTTTCTCCCTTCCCACTTTTGCTGTCTCCTCTTACCTGAGACCTGGTTGCTTGTTACCACTTTATATCTCCACTGGGCTTCAGAGAGGACCTTGGAAAACCGGTGCAGGCGGCTCTGCAGTCCATCTCTGCTTCCTGAGTGGCTCTGGTCTTCTAGCAACTGGGCCTTTTCAGGGGGGCTGTGGCTGCTGATCTCATCTAGCTGCTCCTGCAGAAGCCTGAGGAAGGCCCCTATTGCAAACTCATCGGCCAGGAATCCACTGACACCACTAGTAAAGTGCTTTAGATCCAAAAAGCTGTGCCCATGAGGCCCTGGGGAATGGTCTTTTGACTCTGACTTCAGACAACTTGGCATTATAGGAGCAAGAATCCTGGGGGCTGCCACTGGACCCTGTTCTGATTTCCTCTCAGGCTGTGCTATGTGCTGAGGGCTCTCTGATGGAGACCTCAAGCTCACGGGACCTTTTCCTTCAATGTCATCATCCTCAGCATAGTCTTCAGGCAGGTGAGGCTCTGGGCGAAGGTCAGCAGAAGTGATAAGGAGCAGTGAGAAGATGTTTTCCAGAAGTTCCAGACATAAAGAATCAGGGATACTGCACAGATACTGTTGACACCTGGATAGGTATTTTGTGAAGAGATGTGAAGCACCTAAAAGTTATTAAGAAAAATAAGACAGGAAAGGACATTAGGATGGTATTTCTCACACTGCAGATTGTGACCCAGGAAACTGACTTAAGGGCTGCATTAAAAAAATGATATAGAACAAAAAAATCACAAGTGTGCTCCATTTGACTGTATTGTTTCTGAAAACTGAAGTTTTAGCTTTATGTATCAGATATATACACATACCACATACATATGTAACACATAAATGATATGCCTAGGTGACACTGGAGTGTGACATGAAATGCCATTTTTAACATGGATTATATTCTTTTTTTTAAAAAAAGCATTTGGAAAACACTGTATGAGGTGATGTGATTAGATACCATTAAAATATAAGCAAGTGACTTGCTTTCTCCATGTCCCTTTGATTAAGAGGCTAATAAATGGATAAAATTATTCCTGAACACCATAAAATCAAAGTAACCTCAATCCTGGTGGAAAATGTAACCAAACAAAGCACTTAATGGGCCAAGCCTTATCAACATTTGTCAGAGATGGGAGGAAGTGCCATACCTGGGGAGGAGAGAGAGTCATTTGCTGTCTCTGCAGCCAGGGCCACGTCCTCAGAGGAGCTGTTTTTGCAGTCCTGGCACTGGGAGTGCTGGTGTGAGTTCACACAGAGGGCATAGATAGCATACTTCATGGCACAGAAACCCTGATAAAGGGTCACGTTCTGAGCCTGGCTCTGATGCTCAGGGACTGGGGCATCAGCAGAGTCTGAATTAGAGAGAGAAACAGGCAGAAGTTTAAAGTTTATTCCATGAAGGCCATACTTACAGGTTCTAACCCTGTCTCATTTTGTGAATTTGCTCTGGATCCTTTCCAGGCCTTTCCTCTGGTCAACACTAACTTTCAGTTCCCTCTCCTTTCTTTTCTCCATCAATCTTCCTTCTACATATCTCACAACCTCTATATGGCACTGCTGTCCAGGGTCAGGACTTACACCTGAGAGCCTGTACCTCCCAAAGGATTTAAAAAAAATTTTTTTTATGACTTTTTTTTTTTCAGTTGTAGATGGTCACAATGCCTTTATTTTTTATGTATTTATTTTTATGTGGTGCGGAAGTATGAACCCAGTGCCTCACGTGTGCTAGACAACTGCTGTACCAACGAGCCACAATCCCAGCCCCTAGTCTCAGTAATTTTATTGCCCCTCTTTTGTCTTTCAAGTTCAAGTTCCAAACATATCCAAGTGGGTCACCAGGAATCAGACTTAAAATATTCTTTGAAAGGTTTTTGTAGTTGCATATAAAAGCCATACTTCTAATTCCTTTAAGAAATCTGGTAAAAAAAAAAAAGTTGCCTATTTTTCCAGGAAAAAATTGGAATGTGGTTAACACTGATTTTATAAACAATGATAGGTCCTTTTGAAAATTAAATCAAAACAACATCCAGGCTGCCATATGATAGATGGTTTCAAAGCCAAGTGTCCCTGGCCTTTGTGGTAGGTTTTAACTATATCTGGTACAATTTTTGACAGCAAGAAGAAAAAGGTTGTTAATAAGAAATCAGGGTCTTGAATTTTAAGCAAAGATCAAAGATTGAAAAGGGCCTTTGTTACTGTTTCAGGCAAGTCTTTTGTCCAAACCTCTTGATCTGTAAATAGAGTATAGAGAGAATATGGAGGGAATAAGGGCACAAAATGTGCTATGAGACAGCCTGTGAAGCATGAAACCACTCACAAATAATGTCCATTAATACTGACAATGACAATCCATGAATGCAGATGGCAGGTCCTAAATCTACTTCATTGGAAGGAGAGTATGCTAGTGTTTTCTGGATGATTCCACAGGACAAAGGATGTGGAACCGTGCTCATGGGATTCCCTACACCTCACTAAAAAAAGAAGAGGAAGGCTTTATGTCCCATACATAGTCCTAATTTAGAGGACATTGGCTGGATTGCCCTCTTTTTTTTTTTTAACGCTCTATTTAGTTTTTTAAAAAATATATTTATTTATTTTTTAAATGTGGTACTGAGAATCGAACCCAGTGCCTCACACATGTGAGGCAAGCACTCTACCACTGACTCTACCATAGTCCTAGCCCTGGACAGCCCTCTTGACAGATACCTGGCCATCACAATAAATCTCATACTTGAGGAAACACGTTTATGACCATCCTAAGAGGGAATGCTGGCCAAACTGTTCCATCACCAACTCACCTCGTTCTTGCTGGGAGTCCTTGGCTGGCACCTTCTGTAAGAGCTTGAGAACCTCTTCCTCTCTGAGGGCTGGGAGATTTGTAAGGTGATGGAGAGTGTAGAGCACTGAATGGCTGTCTCCACCATGTAAATGACATAGAAGATCTCTCTTTGGTATGGTACTGAAAGAAAAAAGTTGGGAGGAAGTTATTGCCCTGCAGAAAGAATAGTCTCTAGTCCCTCTTGTTTTTCCTCTCTGGCCTATTAAGACCAGAGGTTTTACTTCCTCAAGGTCTGGGTTGGAACACAGGTTTATTTGCCTTCAGGAAAGCACATCCATAAAGTCAGCTTTATTTGTCCATAAAGGGCCTTTCTGGTCAGAGAGGCCAAAAAAAAGCCTGTGCAGATTAAATTTCCTAATCTCTACCCTCTCCTCAGCTTCACACTGACATAGCTTCTGTGGCTTCACTTTGAAGAACGGTCCCTTGCTCCTTCCCTTTCTGCCTGCACTATTTCAGGAAGTGTTGGTGAGATGGGTGAAGAACGCGACAGGAACCCAGACCTATATTTAGTTATAGGGAAATGCACGGCTTCACACATAGTTCAATGAGTATTTGTTGAATAGAAGTGTGATTTGGGATAACATATGAATAAGGACACAAATGACATTTACTTTCTGTATAACTCTGGGCAAGTTATTTAATACCTCAGCCTCAGTTGTCCCACCTTTAAAAAGAATTATCTATCTCACAGAATTATGGTAAGGATTAATCCAGCCAGGTAAAGGGCTGAGAGCAATGCTGGGCATGCAGTAAGTGCTTAGGAAATGTGAACCATTATCATCCTGAAATTATGCTCTAGTTATGACTTGACAATCATGGAGAAGATAATAAATACTCATGTTTATTTCCTGGTGTAATAGCTAGAGTAAATATCTGTAGCTGGTCAAATCCTCAACTCAAAACATTTATATAGAAGATGTTGAAAATGTTGAAATGGTCACACTCATAGATCACAGGATTAAGTGTGTCCAATGGTGGGAAGGGGACTGGGTGCACAGTGCTATACCTGCTCTGTTGTACACACCACTCCAGGACCTCCAGGTGAGCCCACAATCCATCACAGGCATCCCTGAGGAGCTCATCACAGTCTTGGTCCTATTGATAGGGAAGAAGAGATGCTGGCTCAGGTACCTGGCATTCATAGATTGTGATTGACACTAGAACCCTACATTCTGCCTAGGCCCAAAGTCCTATGGCATTCACTTCCAGGGCAACCTGGGATGTGGAATGAGAGTTACCTGAGTCCTGTAGAGTGTCTGCAGCAGCCTCTTAGCTGACTCAAGGCTCTGGCAGTGTGTCCAGCCCAGGAGCACGAGCAGGTGACCAAGAGGCCTGAATTCCCTATCGAGCAGGCAACCAAGGCTTGGGAAATCTTCCTCTTTCAGCAGAGCTAGTGCTGTTACCTGTAAGTCAAACATGGCTGCTATAGGCCATTATGTGGACTGGAAAGAATGAGTTGCTCACTGGGGAAAACAGCTTATTGTACAGTGGAGAGGTTTCTGATAATGACAGAAGTGGCCAATTGGTTGAAATAAATATTCACTAAAATATGTCCCTGATTTCTGTTGTAGACCCAGCTCCTAGGACAGGAGCTTGGTACACAGATTGAGATTCATAAATATCTATTGAATTAAATGAAGTTCAGTTACAATCTGGAGGGAGGTTAGAGTAATTATTTCCCTATCAGCTATGCCATGTACTACTGCCAGGACCATTTCTATCTCACACTCTCCAGAAAGCTGACATGGTCCTTTGCTGGCAAAGGACCAAAATAAAGTATCGAAAACTATAATTATGAATGCTACTGATTCTCAGAGCCTCCTCTCCCCTGGGACTGTGGGATGAACAGAACCAAATGACTTGCTACTAATTAGATTGCTTGTGTTGCACAAATGAGTGGGAGAGAAAGAAGGAATGGAAAAGTCCAGAAGAGTTTTAGATCCTTCTGTTATGAAAAATAATTTAGACTGACTTACCAGGATCTGCTCCAGGAAATGTTTGCTATTGCTTAGGCAGTAGAAAAAGGCCACTTTCCAAGCCTGGGTGGGATCGGGCATGGAGAACACGGCCAGCATTGCCCGCTCGGGATCTGGATGATCTGGTGAGACTGAACATCAAACCAGACAAGGTTACTGGGAACCAAGAGCTCTTTTTTTCCTAAGCCAGAGCCCATTTGAAAAACCAACTGATGTGAGAGGTAGTTCTTTTAAAAATGTAAACCAGGTTTTTTACACTTTATCTTAAAGATAAGCTTTACTTATTTTAGTAGCTTCTGCAAAACTTTCCTGCTATTGCTAATACTCCCTCCCCACATCACCTCTGTATCCACACTAGAAAAATCTGTGCTTTCACACACACACACACACACACACACACACACACACACACACACGAACACCTTATCTATTCTTTCTTTGCCTCTTCTGTTAGATGTCTTGAACAATAAGCAAGGCACTAGTCTAGGGAAACTTCAGAGAGGCTGGACATATCAACATTACCAAAACACAACGAAAAGCAACAAAGGAACACACCTTTTCCAGAGGTTGTAGCTCTTGATGACTTTTCTATGACCTTCTCTGCATAGGTCTGGCTGTAGAGGGACAGCAGGCCCTGTCGAGATTTGTGTAGCAGGCAGCCCAGCAGCCGCTCCTCTTGCAGGGGACTCCCCTCAGTCCAGTAGGCTTCTAGCAGTTCCTCACACAGGACACGCAACTCAAGCCCTGGTGGCTCTATAGGGCAACGCAGAGTCTGCAGGGCCATATAGATGGCATCAACTACTTCAGGGGACCCAGAGTCTTGGCCCTGAAGAGACTGCAGTGCTTTTCGAATGAGGTCCACCAGGTCCTTCTGCAGAAGTGGGTGATAGAGGCTGGTGCTATCATCATTGCCCAGCAGGAGCTCCAACAGGGCCTGTGCTGGCTGGGGAGCCCGTTTCAGAAGATCCCAGAGCACAGAGACAGCTTCAGAGCTGAGTCGAGGGCTCGAGTTCTCGCCTCTCAGACTTCTGTCAGACACAGGGCCTATTGCATCTTGTGCTAAGGTCTCATACAGCTCCTAAATAGAGGATGAAGAGAGGAATGGGCGGGGTCATGTCTAAAATATTATCATTTATATGTCTTGATGGTTTAGTAGCAGTAGCAAATACTTGTGTAGGAATTACTTTGTGCCAGACTCTGTTCTAGGCCCTTTACACACAAGAACAAAATTAATCCTTACAATAATCTGAAGAGGAAAACACTGCTATTACCCCCATTTTATAAATAAAGAGATTGAGGCTAAGAGAGATTAACTCAATTCCCCGAGGCTTTCATGCTCAAGCTAGCCCCACCCCACTGCTTCCAAAGTGCGTACTGGTAACTTAAATTGGGGACTGCAAATTCATAGAACAGGTAGGTAAGATATTATGCCCATCTAAAGGCATTTGAATTTACTTTGTATAGTCCAGTCTTCCTTTTACAAAACCTTTCTTCTATAGTTTGAAGGTATTCTTTGAAAGCTCATGTATTGGAAACTTTACCCCATTAGGCTTAGATAATATTAGTGGTTTTATAAGAAGAGGGAGAGAGACTGAGCTAGCACAATAATTCTGTCTCGCCTTGTGATGCCTTCTACCATTTTGTGATGCAGCAGGAAAGATTTCAAGATATGCTGAGCAGATGCCAGTGCCATGTTCTTCTTCCCAGCACACAGAACCACAAACTAAACAAACCTCTATTTTTTATAAATCATCCAGTCTGTGTATTCAGTTACAGAAGTAGAAAAGAGACTAAGACACTTTTAAAATATTTTCAATCCACACAATTTCAATGTAATTAAAAATTAGTAACATATGGAGACTAAATTGTCTCTTGGGTATTAGTCTTTCCTCCCCAACCAGACCATTAGCCCTAAAAGCAAGACTCTGGTTAGCCTGTTTGTAGAGTAAGGTGGAGGGAGAAAAGGAGGATACGAAGTAGGTTATTTCTCACACTTCAGGCACGTGCCTATAAATGGTGTTTTTGCAATGTCTCTTCATTAAGTGAGACGATGAGTCTTTGACCCAGTACAAGTGAAAGTCCCCACTTTAAGAGTACTTGCTTAACATGTGCAAAGCCCTGGGGTTGATCCCCAATACCAGAAAAAGAAAAGAAAGAAAAAAAATATGTAAAGAGCTTCAGAACATATATCAAACATGTATGTGGTAATTCATACATACTACATAGTTAATACTTAGAATACTGAATTCCCAGAAGGTTGTTGTGAGGAATTATTGTAACACATTCAGTGTACCTGCTATAGAAGATATTTACCAAATATTAGTTCCTCTCTCTTCATATTTGTTATCATCTACTGGTCAAAATTTCAAATATCTTAGCTTAAATCCATGTTATTTATTCCTTCTATGTGAAATGAAAAAAAAAAAAATCGATCCCAAACTATAGTTAGTATCTCTGGAGAATCTACCTCAAAGGATTCTAATATTAGAAAAGTTTGCCTTCTTAACCTCCCCTCACAGGGGCTTCTACCTTGTCTTCCCTGAGAATAAGGTGCAGCTAACATCTTGGAGACATTTTCTCTGATGGGTTTCTGAAAGTTGGGCTTGTTTAGAGATAGCACAGATGGCCTTAGGTTCTTTCTCACCTTGAGGATGTCCTCTGGAATGTCACCTTGGAGGTCTTCAGTCAAAAAAAGAAACTCAAGCTTTCTCCGGATGATGGCAGGGAGTAACTTCTAGAAGGAAGTATACAGATTAGGCATATGCTTTTTAAAACAAATATTAAAATAAGAAATTCTGAAACAAAATTTTAATAATATTTTAATATTAAACAAATATTAAGGGCTGGAGTTGTAGCTCAGTGGTAAAGTGCTTGCCTTGTATGCATGAGGCACTGGGTTCAATCCTCAGCACCACATAAAAATAAATAAAATAAAGATACTGTGTCCATCTACAACTAAAAAAAAAAAAGCAACCTCAAAACTCAAATATTAAAATAAGAAATATTAAAATTATTTCTCTCCAGTTAGTTTCATTTCTGCTACTTCTCTAAGATAAAGTATTTTTAACCACTAAATTGAATGTTTTCAGATAACTTTCTTATAAACCAAGACAGTTAAACTTGGACAAATTCCTCTCTTAAAAACTAATAATAAAGCCTATACTGATTGGCTTTAAATTCCAAGGTTTGTTCCTTTCGTATGACTTTCTTTTCTTTTTTCTTTTTTTAAATCACTTGAGCTCTTTTCCCAATAATCTTCCTTGCTATGTCCAAAACACCCGGTCATGGGTAAGTTTGGGTGGGTATGGCCCACATAATCTTCTTTTAGTCCAAATCCCTGTTTCTGGTATTTATTATACTCAATATTAGGTGGAGAAGAAAAGTAAGGGGGAAAGGATCTAACGTTTATTCATAATTATTATTATGGTGTTTTGTACATCATATTTTTAAAAATTTCATTTAATTTTCAAACCAAACAAACTTGTTGCAAATAGTTATGTATTTTTACAGATAATCTTTATAGAGATGAAATAATTGGGAGTATTTTCAAATTATTCGAAACATGAAAAGGAAAAAGTGAATCATAAATAAATAAATATACATGCATTATATGTACACATATACACGTTTGTTATATATATAAATTTATACGTTTACATCATCTCTCTCTCTATATATATATAATGCACACACACACACATACACACACACACATTTTTTCTTTTGTGGTGCCATGGATTGAACCCACAGCTTCCTGAATGTTGGGTTAGTACTCTACCACTGAGCCACGTTCCTCAGCTCAAAAGATAACTTTTGTTTTTGTTTCTTTGAGACAGGGTCTCACTATGTAGCCTTGAATTCCTGAGTTCAAGTGATCCTCCTGCCTCAACCTCCCAAGAGCCTGGGACTACAGGTATATGCAATCATGCCGGCTGATCCCAATGTTTGTTAATGAGACCATGCCATCAGCAATGTCCAGTGTATGAATAGAGAGGAAGCCTATGACCCTTTGTATATTTGCTTGTTTCACAATAATTTCCCAACACCTGCTCCTGAAAACTCAAAATAGAGTCTTTTGTTTTTCTAGAAACAAAAATAAGAGCCTGGGACTAATTCTGCAAACAATGAATTAGAGACATTCATAAATCAGGACTCCGATTAAAGCTTCCCAAAGATGAGTTTTACTGGAAGGCAGGAAGCACCTGTAGGAGTGTGTGTGTGTGTGTGTGTGTGTGTGTGTGTGTGTATGAGAAGTGGTTAGAACACAAGAGCACACTTCCTCCTTTCATGTGCCATTTATCACATCAAAGGCTAGCATGATCTAATGTGTTTGTAGTCCAAAATCTTATTACTTCTTACCATACTCTTTCCTAACATGAACCAATTCTATATAAATGCTTGTATAATGTTCAACATTGGAAGATCATGCTGAGAAGCTGAATAGTGCTTCTTTTGAGACGTGGAAAAAACAGATAAGATATCTAAGATAACAAGTCCTTAATACTCTGGTTAACTTTTTAAGTCTTTTTTTTTAGAATTCTAAAGAATGATTAGCTTATATTTATTTTATTGGTGAATTTACTTTAAGCATATGCAGGACCATAAATGACTAATATTTCTAAAACAGCCAAGAAGTTGCTCACTGTTTCTAAGCACAGATTTCCTTACTATAAAAGCAAGGTATGCTCAATGTTGGTGAAAATTAGAGTATACAAATATGAAAACTAAAAAACTATATATGTTATAAATATATAAAAAACATCTAATCTTCCTAATGGAGGAGAACTACTATTAATGTTGTGGTGTAAGAGCACTCAGGTTATTTTCTATGCATGTATTTAAGCATGTATTGCACACATACTTTTTTCTAAACTGCTTTTATTCACTTGGAGAATATAAACATTCATGTCACTGAAAATCGTATTCCATGTAATTTTCAATAGTGGTATAGAATTTTACATATAAATATACTTCATTTATTAACCAGTCCTGTACTATGGAAAGGGGAGTGGTTTCTAGTTTTCCTGTATTAGAAGCTGTATAGCAGTGAACATCTGCACAGTTAATCATTGTACATATCTAGATACACGTAGAGATAACTCCCTGCATGATGAAGAGATAGAAGACAAAGGTAAATGAAGAAAAGGAAAAACAATCATTGCTTCATTTAATAATTGCAAAGGAAGCTTTTTGGCAGATGGTGGGATCATTGAAATGAACAGACAGCACATTCTTAGAAGATAAGGCACTTTCAGGAAAACAACTGCCTTGTTGAACTACTCTAAGAATGCATTTGAAATATTGGGCCTTATATAAAGTTTAAAAATTCTGAGCAACAAAAACATTCTCATAACCATTTAAATAAGCAAGTCATCAGAGCTTTAAAGACCAAATGATCTGTGCTGTTGGAAGAAACAAGAACCATTCTTGGTCTGCACCTGAAGCCAGGGAAGTGAACAAAAATATTCTCACAAACATTTAAATTAAACGAGTTACCAGAGCTATATAGACTAAATGATCTGTGATGTTAAAAACAAAACAAAACAAAAAAAACCAAACAAACAAACCCAAGGAGCCAGAGAATTGAAATCTACTGCCTGATATAGCTGAGCAACTATCTAGAAAATAAGTGATCAATCAGGCATCAAGTAAGCAAACAGCTTCCACTGAGAGGAAGGTTCATTTGGTTTGACAAATTTCATGTCTGTACTAGAGATCTTTCATCAGTCATAAGATTTATTTTCTTTAAGATATTACTGCAGTTATGATATTTCTACTTTATATCTTTATTGCATATGTAATTTTTATTTTAAATTAGTTTTTTATTTTATATGACAGCAGAATGCATTACAATTCTTATTATACATACAGAGCACAATTTTTCATATCTCTGGTTGTATACAAAGTATATTCACACCAATTCATGTCTTCGTACATGTAGTTTGGATAATAATGTCCACCACATTCTATCATCATTTCTAATCCCATGCACCCTCCCTTTCCCTCCTACCCCTCTGCTCTATCTAGATTTCATCTCATAGTGGGATAGGGAGAGGGAGCATGGGAGGATATTTCTACTTTAGTTCAAGTTTTTTTCTTTTAATTCTAACTCTTAATTATCCTGTATCATCACTTTTCAGTCTTTTCTCTCTCTTCTCCCCTCCTGCTACCTTTCTGTCTTTTCTCTTTAGTAGGCAGTTTGCCAACACCTGGGTAAGCGATACATTTAGATCAGCAATTTGTTACTTTCTGACAGCTATGTGAAGGATAAATGTCCCATTAAAGACAAAATTAATCCTCATGACTGAGGGAGTAAAAATAAGAAAAATTAGGCTAACTGATAGACATTTCAAAAACAGAAGTTCTCACTTTTAACTCCATGTAGGCCAAAAAATAATGTTGAAGTATGAAAAGCAAAGGATTAGGAGTCAGATCTTGGTTTCAGCTCCAGTTCTGTCAATTAACTATATGGTATGTCAGAGGTTCCTCACTTAAGTCAACCAATCCCTTCTTTTTTCTTTTTTTCCTTTCCTGTCCTTTCTTTTTGAGGTGGGGTCTTGCTGCCACGCCCTTTAGTTCCTAGACTCAAGCAATCATTCTACCTCAGCCCCTTTAGTGGCTGGGACTACTTGTATGTACCACCTTGCCTGCCTCCTCACTTAAATCTTAAATTTTCTGGTTCAATATGAAATTGATTCACAGAAATTCCTTCAATGGATCTCTATCTCTAATAATAAGCTCTTCTAAAAGAGATTTTGGAAGATTTCCTTAAAAACAAACAAACAAAAAAAACAAGAAAGCACTATATTATCAGTTTTCTTTCACTATTAATTTGCTATATTTTTATATTTAGTTAAATTTTAATTTAATTCTTATGCATTATTAAATTACTAACAGGGCTTACATCCATAAGATTTCACTATTTTAGACTAGTGAAAAGATTTTTAGAATAAAAACCAATTTTCAGCTCAGCCAATTCTCTAATACTTGAATGCTGAATAGATCCAAATGTATGGGTTCATATTTTATTTGCTATCTTGACACTTTAACTGAGTTTTGCCAAGTTCTCTTTAAGCACAAGACTCATAGTGGTATTTAACAAAATGGCATCATCATTGGCTTTTATATGTCAATGTATGTTAGTGAATTAATGAAGGAATTTAGGTAAGGAGACAGCAATAACAGTTTAAACAAATCTTACTGATAATACTGAGAGAGATTATGACCACTTTTGTAATAAAGGAAGTAACAAATAGACGGAAAATCCCATAACTATTTCTAAGTTCTTCTCAGTGAATGCCTTAGGAGAAAATTTAAATGTAAATTTTCTTACCTTTTCCTGGGCCAACCATTTTTCTAGTACTAGTAGCCAGAGCCAGGCTAATCTTTGAGGGCTGATGTCCTGCTCACATCTGAACAAAGTGAAAAGAAAAATTTTGTAAAACAGAGTTTCTGCTGACCCTTTCTCTTTTGTAATCCAAGATTTAGTTTTTAGTAAATCAGAAAGTCCATTTAAGCCTGAACAGGCAAGTCCTAATAAAATTTTTCAGTTATATATAGTAGCTCAATAAAACATAAACCCTAGAATAGAACTGGCAGCTTCCTTGAAAGTCACTAACCAACCTCTACCTCTTTACCCAATCTTTTTTATTTATATTTTTTTATTTTTTGAGACACGGTCTTGCTACATTACTCAGGCTAGTGTCCAATTCCTGGGCTGGGCCCAGGAGAGTCTCCCGAGTGTCTGGGATGATAGGCATTCTTTACTATGGCCAAATCAATCTTATTTATTTATTTATTTGGTACTGGGGATTGAACCCAGGGGTGCTTTACCACTGAGCTACAACCCCATCCCTTTTTATTTTTAATTTTGAGACAGGGTCTTGCTATGTTGCTTAGGGCCTCGCTAGGTTGTTTAGGAAATTGCTAAATTACTGAGGCTGGCCTCCAATTTGTGATCTGCCTATTTCAGCCTCCTGAGTTGCTGGGATTATAGATGTGTGACACTGTGCCCAGTGAGTTAGTCTTACTTTTAAATATAATATTACAGAGAAAATTGCAACAACTGTTTCTATCTAAAGTATATTCTTAAACATAAACAATTAATCAAATATAAAAGAAAAAAGGAAGTTCATAAAAATTTATTTTTAATTATATGCAAAAAGAGTTATAGGAATTCATAAGCCTTTCTTTGAAATTAGTAATGCAGACAATAACCAGCTAGAACCTAAACAAATAAAGGAAGAAAAGGATTATTTGTTTCTCTACTCTTTATGTGCTAATACTTCAATACTGTAAATAATGGTTAAAGTAAGGACAAGCCAAGGAAAGACAAAAAAATACATTTCATTCCTATACCACTAGTAATAGCACCATCAGGCAGAACTTCATTGAAAATCTACGATGGAGAAATGTGGTTACCAGGAGACAAGGAAGCAAATAAAAACAGGTGAGGAAATTCTTTTGCAGTGATGCAATAGTTCTGTATCTTTATTACTATGGGATAATATGGATAATATTGCATAGAATTACCAATAACAAATGAATGCAGACTTAAAAAATGGTGAAAACCAAATCAGGTTTTAGTGAACAGTAATATACCAGTGTCAATTTCCAGGATTTGATATTGTACTACAGTTATATGAGATGGCACAATTAGTGGAAACTGGGAAAAACTACACCAAAATCTAAACTCGAGCAGGATTTACTTTTTGGAGGTAAAGAAAATACTTTTTAATGCATATATGCCAAGAAATGGTGGTTTAAGGCACAATTTGGTGGCCAGGCTTAAATCCAGTTCTAGATCATAACCCCAAACCAATGGACTATACTGGTAAAAGTAATGGGCATATATTAAGAAAATTTCAGAGTATGTGAAATACACTGTGCTCTGCTAATTCTTAGAAGATAGTTGAATGGACCACATTAACCAAAGCCCACATATTAAACCATGTGTCTTCTATCCTGAAATTCCCCGTCAAAAAGGGAGATCCTTACCTCAGCAGATCTGGACACAGCACCAGTGCCCGAAGTATGTCTTCCACCCTCTTTGGGATATCCCCGTGCCCTTCGTGTAGCTGATGTACACATGCCTGTGCCAGCTCCCATTCTCCCCTCCGCAGGCACTCACAGAAAAACCCCAAAAGCTGTTTCAAGGTAGCAGTTTCTTCTTCTCCAAATGGATGATTCATTTTCCCAGCACAGAGTGCAGGGAGATAGACAGAGATGAGTTATGCGGAACACATCCTCAATTTTCTCATTCGTGGAGCACCTCCTAGGAACAACGTACCACAGTGAGAAGAAACTCTATTTAAACCAGCAACTACTGGCCCGACTAGGAAAGGCGGGAATTACTCTCCTTATTAAGTTTAATTTGATGTTACCATCTCTTTTTAAGACCTACCACTTTCTCCAAAGTGTGGATAACATTGAAGATCCTATATTTGATAATATTAACCGACCCATAACTTGACTTCCATATTCCCTCTTAAACACTGTGCCAGTCCGGCTCCAAATCCCCAGATGGTCGCCGCCGCAAGGATGAAAAATTCAGCAGGAATTCCCCTCGTTTGAGCCTTCAATTAAGCCAGAGGATTGAAGACTAGGAGACGAAAGCCTGAAGTGGAGGGCTAGCCGGGTAAGGGGCGTGAGGGAGACAGGGACACTTACTACCCGGGTCTTGGAGAGCGCCCTGCTTTCTCCCTGGCGCCTTCTACTCACCTGCTCCCCGCGCCCAAAGCAAAAGAGCTTCCAGCGCAGCCATGTTTGGGACGAGTCAGGTGACAGATCCTCTGTGAACAGAGGCCGTGGGGGCGGTGACGACGGCTGACAGGGCATTCCTATTGGCTCAGTGGAGGGAGGACGTAAATTTAGTGCCTTGTTTGAGTCACGTGATGCCATCTCGCCAGTAGTGAAAGCTCGGAAAGAGTTAATTCAGCTAGCTTGGCTAGGGACCAGCCCCTCTCAATTAGGACAGCTCCTCCTCTCAACACTTTCAATTCTGCCTTCGGTGGAGCAGGTGGCAGGAACAATTGCTATTCCTCTATTTTTTTCCCCCTGCTCTTCATAGCATTGGAAGTCAACACTTGTTTAGTGCCAACCAGTGATAATGCTTTGCTAGACTCTAGGGATACCAGGGCTATTCTCCATTATTATTCAACTTGGGCTCTCTTATAATCCCAGAGCTCTGTGGTCTGAATTTTCATATTCTTCTGCTTCACTCCATTTATTTATTTCCTCATTTTCTCAGCAACCGATAATTGAACAATGAGCCAGGTCCATTTCCCTCGAATGAGGCAAGATACCTCTTCTCAAAGGAGGAGTGTAGGGCAATAATTAGGTTAGAGTGGTCTAAATTATAAAATAGAGGTATGCGCGGAGGAGTTGCACAGGGGAGAGCAAAGAACGAACAAAGGCTTTTTGCGAATATAATAATTCTCTGAAATCAAGTCTTAATGGTATATTAGATTTCCTCACTGCGACTGCATTTACACAAATCTTCTGTTTGCTTTCTTTTGTGTTTGTTTTCAGCTAGAGACCCATGGGTTTCCCCAATGTGTGTTTTTCAGTTTGAGCAATTTCAATAAGCAGTTCCCAAACTATTTTTGAAAAGGCAAATTAAACACAAGATCGTCTTCTAAAAACTCTCTGTGATGAGCAGATTGATATCTATCTCCCAGAAAACATGCCTCTCTCGTACATTAAACAATTTTTAAATGTTATAGTACATGAAAGAAAATAGAAAACTCCAAGCAAGGTTTCCTTTGCTTCACACTCTCTTGGTGATGTTCCTACACCGGATTTTGAGGATCACTATAATGAGAAATTGACTCTTGATTCCTAGCTCATACATAGATTTAGGTAGTCAGAACTACAATTCCCAGTAAGCATCGGAGCCACCTGGGCTTGTGCTTGCCTCTGATTGGATAAATAGCCATGATGACGACCAACCAGCGCTCCGGTTGTTGCTCTGCGGCGCTTTCCGCGGGGAACTGTGTGAAGAGTGGGGGAAACTTTGAAAGTTGGGAGCTGCACGCTTGGTACTGGAAAGTTTCTTGTGGGGAACAGTTGTAGGGAAGTGGGTATTCTCTTTGTTTCCGGTTCCCTTCCTGAGCCCGTGGATATTGCTGTCGGGGTGGCGGAGAGCCTCTTTGGATGCTGGGTAGGGCTCTTGACGGGAATCCCGCTTCAGGTCGGGTGGCCTTTGCGAGGTTGTGGGGGGATGCTTGGAAGGTGCCCTTTGTGGGAGAAAGCTTTTTCCTCCCGTAACGTTTTCATCTCCCCTCTCCCAGGCGCACACATACCATCACCACTTAAGACAGATTGGGGTCTAGGGAATCCTGTCGTTAGGGGAAGTTCAGGGACGGTCTCACTTCAGATGGTGTTGAAGAGCTTGGAATAATCTAGACTCCTGGATTCGAAGGCGGGCTCCACCAATGTTTTAGGTGTTTGACTTGCGCGTTTCTCAACTTCGTGTCTCAGTAGCCTTATCTGTAAAATGAGGTAAAACATCCAAATTTCAGATAGTATTGTTACTTCACAGTTTTCATTAAACGTCTAACAGGATTTTTTCTTGTTGGCGGAGTGGAAAGAGCTCAATTTTCGGGGTTTAAGTTTCTCTCCTCGCCTCCAAAACACATAGATGGGCACACACGTACGCAGCAGGAAGAAACAAAGATGCCTTAATAAGATTATGAAACAAATATGTACAAAGTGTGATGGAAACGTTGGAGAGGAAGAGCCCTACTCTGAGGAAGCCCTTGTGGAGGGAGGTCAGGGAGGCTATAGGGTGCTTGAGTAACCTACCAAGATACCTTTTGGCTGGAGAGCAGGTTAGATGATGTTTGCTGAATGAACCAAGCGCTGTGTGCCAGCCACAACCTGTCTTTTAACCCCTCGCTGCTATCCTATGAAGTTGATATTAAAGTTACCTCCGTTTTACAGATGAGGTAACCAATATACTGGCAGGTAAGTAACTTTTGCCAGGAAGGACAGGATATGAGCCTTGCAATTTGATGTGTGAATGAACATACAGGACCCACCTTTAAAGTTTTAAAAATATGACCCTAAGAAGTATGGAATTTATTCTGTGGCCTGGGTGCCTGTGGGATGTTTTAATGGATAAAAGTAAGTTTTTAGAAAACTGGCAAGACTGTGACACTGACCTAACTTTCTCAGGCCAGTTGGCGATTTCTTCCTATCAGCTCCCATAGCACTTAAATAGCAACACTTACTGCATGACTGTAGTTATTTGTGTATACATACATCTCTTTGCATTTCTCCACTTGTGTGTACACAAAGGGGAGGAAATCTATCTGAATGATTCTTCTGTCCCAGAGTTCAGCAGAGTTTGTACTTAAGAAGTGTCTGTGGAAGGAACAAATTGAATGGAATGTTTTTTATTCCTTTGTTTTTGTTTTTGGTAAAATGGGGAGTGACCAAAAACAGTATGCAGTAGTCCAGGCCTTGTTAAAACAAAGTTAGCAGATTGGTTATTGTTAAAAATCTCTGTAGTTTGGGGGTTACTTTTTTGGTTGTTGTTCTATTTTTGACCCACTGAATTTATCAGTCTAAATGGTATTATTGCCTGGAACTACCTGATCTGAAATGATACTAAACAATAATCTAGCAGGTAGATGTCACTTTGTAAACTTTCTATTGGGGAAAACAAATCAATACTAAGAAATTCCCATTAGAAAATGAGGATCATATATTTTATGTTTGTGGAATGTGTTCCAAAATGTTACTGATAATTATATTGCTTTTTTCCCTGGAGCAATGATGAGTTCCTATTTCTACTCTTTTCAGAGAATGCTTTGCCACCTCAGGTGAGGTACACAGCCTTTCCTTTGTATGCATTATTATTGTTAGGGAAGTCATAATGATTCTGTTCTAGCTCTCCAAAAACAAACATTTCATGAGCCTCATTTGCTCTCAGCAAGGTACAACAAGAATGAAATTTAATTGCATTGATATTATAAGCAGCTATTATAATAAAGAACAATTTTGATTTATAGATAATAACCATAATAAATCTCATTTGATTCTGGTTTGTTCTGGCTCCTAGAAAAAAGGAATTCTGGACTTGCAGTAGGGTGTAATGGTTAAGAAGATAGGTCTCAGTTCGGTACAGTGGCGCATGCCTGTAATCCCAGCGGCTCAGAAGGCTGAGGCAGGAGGATCACAAGTTCAAAGCCAGCCTCAACAAAAGTGAGGCACTTAGCAATTCAGTGAGACTCTGTCTCTAAATAAAATACAAAATAGGGCTGGGGATGTGGCTCAGTGGTCGAGTGCCCCTGAGTTCAGTCCCCCCCCCACCCCACAAAAAAAGAAGATAGGCCTCAGAGTCAGATTGCTGGGTTCTGAATCCACCATTTACTTTTTTAAAAAAATATTTTTATTAGTTATTGATGGACCTTTATTCATTTATTTGCTTATATGTGGTGCTGAGAATCAAACCTAGTGCATCACATATGCTAGGCAAGTGCTCTACCACTGAGCCACAACTCCAGCCCTATCATTTACTTTTTCTGTTAGCAGACATTTCCAGTTTAGTTTTCTCATATGTAAAAGAGGGTCCAATAATCTATTTTCCTTTTAGGCCTTTTGAAAATATTATATGTGATAATTAAGGTAAAGCTTTTGGAACAGTGCCTGGCAAAAAGGAGGTACTCAATAAATTTAGCTGTTATTGTTATAGTGCAATAAAAATAAAGACTTCTAGGGGTGCTGTTTGGATATATGCCTTGAATTAATTACATATCCAAATAAACTATAAATATCCTGACAATCTTAAGATGCTATATAATTATGAAATATATAACAATGTTTGTGGAATAAATATCAAAGAATTGTGTGAAATGCATATTCTGAGGTTGTCTTGTTTTGTGTGTTGAATAAATAGGTGTTTCCTCCTCTTTAAAGCCATCATTTTTTCTTTCTTAATCATTTACATATCACATTTCATTTTGCACATGGAGAAACTTGAAAAATTTTTTATTTTATAAAGTGTTTTGGAAAGCCTATCCACTATCATGTATATTATTTTCTGATGTTCTTTTCAAGGTTCTTCTTTTCTTTGCTGGATCTGGAAGCATGGGTAGCAAGAAACTAAGACGAGTGGGTTTAACTCAAGAGCTGTGTGACCGTCTGAGCAGACATCAGATTGTTACCTGTCAGGTAAAACTTAATAGTTAATTTTTTTCATTAAGAGATTTTTATGCCCAATTAACTTTAAGTAAATATACTTTAATAATTCTTTTTTCTTTAATGTCTAATCACCTTAGCCATGTTCCTTTGTTTTATTTTTAATTTTTTTAAGTTGTAGGTGGACACAATACCTCTATTTAATTTACTTATTTTTATGTGGTGCTGAGGATTGAACCCAGTGCCTCACTCGTGCTAGGCAAGCACTCCACCTCTGAGTCAAAACCCCAGTCCACTTTGATAATTCTTAAACCTGGAACATAAAAACTTAGGTTTGCCCCCCATCTTCTCCCCCCCATCCCCCCCCCAAAAAGTTGAATGATGGTGCTTTTCCATAAGCCACTTAGTTTGCATTTCCAAATGTAATTTCATTTACTGAAATTTAATATTTTTGCATTTTAGGGGATGTAAGGTGAAATATACCATTTATTTGGGACTGTACAGAAATTTTTATCTACTTTTTGTAGTTACATAAGAAATTTTACTCAAATTAGGAGATGGTATTCAACATGGGAAATTTCTCTTGGAAGAGGAATTAATAGTTACAACTAATTTTTAGTACTATTTTATTATTAATGAAGGCTGAGAAATACATAGAGCAAATATTGCATTTTTAATAAGCACTGTAATGAAATAACTTCCTTTCAGGAGGGGAGAAAAAGTTTAAGGATTTATTTTAGGATTTTATCCTTAACAAGATAGATTTCAGAGCATACTTGATTCTTTTTGAATCAGTTGGTATGTTAAGTGCATCTGTGGTTCTTCCATTATACATTTAATAATCCTCTTGTTCATATTTCAGAATGCTCTAAAAAGTATGAAATTTAACATTTTATTCCACATTCAGCCCTATTTTCTCTCAATTATCAAATACTTTATCTGAGTAAACTCTGAATTAGAAATAAATACCTTTTATTTTTTCAGTGCTCAGGATAAAATTCGGGGCCACATGCATGCTAGGCAAGTGCTCTGCCACTGAAGTGTACCCCAAGAAATACTTTGCAACCTGACACTTTCTGGGTGCATACAAATATGCACCAGATTCTTTCTGGTATAGGCCCAGATTCTTTCTGGTACAAGTGCAGTGTTCATATAAACCTGAATTGGATACTACTGCTATGTAATGTTGCCTGGTATGTCTTCTGATATATGCTGATTGAACTAATAATTAGAATATAAGATTATATCATCATATTTTTAGTTAAGGCATGTTTAGGGGAAAAATACAATAAAAAAATGCATAGGGCTGGGGTGTGGTTCAGTGGTAGAGCATTTGCCTAGCATGTGTGAGGCCCTAGGTTCAATCCCTAGCACAGCAAAGAACAAAGAATGCATAAATCTTTGATCTGCAAATAATTACATTTTTATCTACATATGGGCAATGTCAATTGAAAATTTCCTTTTATTCCAATATCCTTGTTTCACATTTGTGTTTAAAATATTCTCTTTGTCTCTTTAGGACTTTTTATGTCTTTCCCCACTGGAACTTATGAAGGTAACTGGCCTGAGTTACCGAGGTGTCCATGAACTTCTGCGTATGGTCAGCAGGGCCTGTGCCCCACAAATGCAAACGGTATCATCTATTTTTTGATTTGATTATGCAATGATTCTTTGTCTCATTTAAAATTTTTTTTTGGATGAAGCAAAAGTAGAGATGAGTACTTCAGAAGTATCAAGTATCTTACCATAATGTTAATCCTGTAATGAGAATACATGTGAAAAATTTATGAGGTTTATAAAATCATACGAGACAATTCCTAAATGTAGGAATTAGGGAGCAACAGGAAGTTTTCTTTTTTCTGCAGCTAATAGTGGTATTTCAAAAGGTCATCTTTATTTGTCATTTATTTGGGTAAGGTTTGAGGACTTTGTGGTTAAATTATAACATACTCAATTTTTGAATGTCCTTTTTTCTGTGTCATACTTAACTTTTACCATCTTTACTTACTGCATATCATGAAATACATATACTTGCTTATTAACTGAACAAATAATGTCCAAAATGTTATCCTTACTCTTGGGAAAAGCTGAAGTTCTTTGTAATAAGCCCTCATCAAAATGTACTTTTTTGTTTTGTAACTGTAGCTTTTCAGAATGTAGATTTTGAGCACAGTGGAAACATCTTGTTTTCTCAGAACAAGAGTTGCCTAAAAGTCAGTTCTGTTTGCAGATGTGTTTATTTGTACGGATTGCAATTTATTTACCTTATTTATTATCTTATTTTGAAATTTGGTAACCATTCAATAAAGTAGGGTACAATTTCCTAAAAAAGGAAGGAAAGCAGGAATGTTAGTTTCATTTGAAACTTCTAAAAACAATAAGTTATCTGAACTACAGATATTTTCCTTAGTTCACATTTAGCTTGTGACCTAAGGACCTTACAGATGGGATAGTCAGAAGGAGAATTAGAATCAGAATTAGAAATCAGAATTAGGTACTAGTCTTGGTTTATCATTGATTTCATTGCTTTGAACAGCTCTGTTAGCTTTCTATGGCTGTGACAAAGTACCTGACATAAACATATAAGGAGGAAAGGTTCATTTAGGCTCATGGTTTCAGAAGTTTCAGTCCAAGATTAGTTGGTTCTTTTGTTTTTAGGCCTTTTTCCAGGCAGAACATTATGTTGGGGAGTTTTATGTATATATACTACAATGTTAATAGTAGTTATTTCAGAATTTTGTTATTGGCTCTTTAACTTTTTTTTTTTTAATTCTAAATTGCTAAGATATGTTATGGTCTCTAATTAGGAAAAGGAAAAAAAAAAAAAAAAGACCAGTAACAATTCTTGTGTGCACAGTAATAGTTTGGATATAAGGTGTTCTCCAAAAGCTTCTGTGCTAATGCAGGAATATTCAGAGGTGAAATTATTGGATTGTGAGAACTATAACCTAATCAGTCTATCCTAGGCAGATTGAATGGACTAACTTGGTAATTGTAGGCAGGTATGATATGGCTGGAGGAGGTGGGTCACTGTGGTGTGCCCCAGAAGGATCCCTTTTCTCTGGGACTCCTCCCCTTTCTCTCTCTGCTTCTCAGCCACCATGAGGTAAGTAGCTTTACCCCCTTTGCCCTTCTGCCAGATGGTTTGCTTCACCTTGGGCCCAAAGCAATGAAGTCAGACCATGGTCTGAGCTGTTAGGAATATTCAACCATGGACTGAATCTCTGAAACTGGGAGTCAAAATAAACTTTCCTTCATTAAGTTTTTCTTAACAGGTATTTTGGTTACAAAGATGAAAAGCTGATTATCACACCCTCTTAAAGTAATTGTTGGCAAACCTCTCAGTTTCCATGTTTTAAAAAATTTTTTTCTTTTAGTTGTTAATGGACCTTTATTTATTTATATGTGGTGCTGAGAATCAAACCCAGTGCCTCACACATACCAGGCAAGCGCTGTAATACCGAGCCACAACCCAGCCCCTCCATTTCTTATTCTGGAGATAATTATACTTATGTGTAGTGTATATATAGGGTATCTACGTGTAGGGTTGTGCGGATTAAAATAAATAATATATGTAAAGTACTTAATACAGCAATGCTAGATGTTCAATAAATGTTTATTACCTTGTTCCATCCTCATTTTTTTCCTTTCTTTAATTCCTGAATCAGCATTATCTGAGAGGGTCTGACATCATTTGCTGCATATTCTAGGGTAATGACTATTTGTCACTTTGCCCAGGAGAAGGCAAAACTAAACTGAAATATAAAAAATACTGTTACAGGGACTGGGGTTGTGGCTTAGTGGTAGAGTGCTTGCCTAGCACGTGTGAGACGCTAGGTTCGATCTTCAGCACCACATAAAAATAAATAAAATAAAGGTATTGTATCCAACTACAACTAAAAATAAATTTTAAAAAAGAGACTGTTATAAAAAAAAGATTTTCTCAGAATCTCTTTTAATTTTTTTAAGTTGTAGATGGATACAATATCTTTATTTGTTTATTCATTTTTATGAGGTGCTGATGATTGAACCCAGGGCCTCACACCTGCAAGGCAAGAGCTCTACCACTAAGCTTCAGCCCCAGTCCCATCAAAAGTTCTTTTTGATGAAATATTAGAAAAATAAACATCCTTGAAAGTCAGGTAAAATTTTAATGCCCCAGAAAATTAATAGATGTTGTTTAAAGCTGGGCATGATAGTGTGTGCCTATAATCTCAGCTAGGAGGCTGAGGCAGGAGGATCATGAGTTTGAGGCTAGGTCTGGGCAACAAAGCAAGACCCTGAATTAAAAAAAATAATTTGAAAAACAATTATCCTTGCGGAGTGTTAAAATTTATTATTCTGAGTACATTCAAATTATCCAAACCAACAAATGAAATCACCAAAGTTCTTTGTATAGTTTCTTGTGGATGTATTCCTGAGATAAGAAAGGATCTCAGAGGAAACAGTGTGCAGTGTGGATATGGGGATGGAAAAGAAAGCAAGGAACTTTGCTGAATGTGAATATTTAGTCTCAGATGAGAGTCTTAAAGAAAAGGAGAGATTAAAACCTAAAAAGAGAAGAGGAATCCAACATAGCGGCCGGCGAGGAAGCAGCGATTCCAATGTCTCCACTTTAATGGGATCAGAAAGACCCATTGGATCAGCTGCAGCCTACCTACAGAGGAACTTCTAGCAAAATTCCCTTAAGAGGAGAGCTGCCGTGAACTGGTAGTTTTATTGGAAGTGACAGTTTGTCCCAGAGAAGTGGATCTTGACCGGCCACGTGGGCACAGAGGTCTAGTCCCGCAGCCATCAGCCGCTCCTGCAAGCGGCTCTCCCGGGAGGCCCAGCTCTCGCTCTGCGAGCGGCCGCCCCACCCGCCCGGTTC